GTTTATTCTACAAAGCATAATGTTAATAGACCCACAAGGTAGCTCAGCACATTAATAAGGAAATATATTATGCCTGAAGTATTCCAAAACCTGTTTTGATAGTAAAATGACAACTGTATGAAGGACTGTGATTGCAGTGGTAGCAAATTACACTTCAGACTTCAGCTAAGGGTCAGAAAATGTGCAAAAAAAGTGTTTGCTAATGTACAGACTAAGACTCACAAAAGACTTCTACTGCTGAGTGAAATAGTCAAACACAGTTCTGCAAGACTGAACAGTACTAAAGGTTTTACATTTAGGTTTGACACTTGAATGTTTTCCAGTATTGATTCTCTACGCACTTACATAGTCATTGCAACACTGCAGACACCAGAACAGACAAATCATGGTTACAGAGCCGCAGATCAAAGAGGCCGCTTGAGCCTCCCCCCTTTTCAATTTAAAAAGTTAACAACCTTAGTGACATGGACTGGAAAGACTCAAGAGTTCTGCTGATACACCATGTTTGGAAGAAAGGGATATTCTTTCCTATAAAATACCAAAGACCACTTTTTTACACGAGAGTGCGAATAAGATCTTCATAAATACAAATTTAAAGCTGGGTTGCTACACCCCTACTTAGCCAGCTAGTTGACCTGATTTACAAATATTCCAAGCATCCTCCATGTTTCTGTCATCAAAGACCACCTGGGTTTCAAGGGTGTCCAGCATAGTTGAAAATGAGGCCACTGATTTTAGAGCCTAAATAGAATTCCAACAACCTAACATTAGGATCCTGTTTTGACAATGTCAGTATCTTGATCAGATATTCGTTGGTTCCATTAACTTACTAGCTCCACTGGGCATAACTGTCCTCAAGAACAGATAAACTAGGTAATACCAGAAGTCCACCTATACCACAGTCGTTACCAAGTGCTCAAGGCAAAACTAAGAGCATGGGATTCTTTTCTCATCACGTTCTTCTAAACCCCAGCAGCATGTGATGTGACCACTCCAGTCATTCATACACAGTACTTGGCTAAGAATTCTTCCTTGTGCTAGAACTTACTACAAAACTAGTACATCTGATATACATTAATTCAAACAGAAAAAACAGTAATCTTTTGTTATTTAAACAATGTGTGTCGAACAAAAGACTTTGAAGACCATTGTCTCAAAAAGAGCCCTTCTGCTGAATGCAAACAAAGGCTTACAACCCCCAGGGGAGTACAATGAGCATCAGCATGTTTGCTCTGAAGAAGTAGAAAGCTTCTAAGCAGTTTCTAACACCACAGAAACACAAGAGATTGGTGTGACTGTGAAAGGACTTATGCAATTAAACACTGTATGTGAAGTCAAGGTCTCAAGCACAGGCTCAGGCAGCACCAGAAGTTAGAGCTTCTGTATTTGAAAGAATGTTTTTCCTCAGGAAATGAAAAAGGGCAAGGAATTCAGAGCCTCTTCAGGCATTGACAAAAGGAAAGAAAACTGAGTTGTAGGTCAGTGGGAAGAGACTGTGATCAATAAAACTAGACTGGGAATGAACTGATTTGAAGAGAACAAATAACCAATATATAGACCCTATTTTTAATCTGAAATTAGTAATTCAGCTTTGTTCACAGGAACTGCTAGTTCACATGAGAGCATTTCTGACAATGAAATACCTCTTACATTTCAATGCCAGCGGTGCTCACAGTTCCTGAGGGAGTACCATCAACGGCATGAAAACACAGTGCTACTTTCAATCTACTGATTTTAACCTCTTACTTCTCCAAGCACATGAATGATGTGCACCTTTCACTGCAGTGTGTTGTCAGGGATATCTTCCCTGAAAAATCTAATTAGGAGCTCTTGGGCCTTGCAGTCTGACACAGTTCCCTACTCCTTTTCCTCAAACTCACTCCCTTCTGCTAGCGAAAAATCAGATAATCAAGGTGTTCACAAGATTCTCAACACTCTATAGAAAGCATTGAATCTCTGGCTTTTAAACTGTCTAAATATGGTCTGCAATGCTTTATTAATTTAATTTATGTACAGTTCAATGTAATATCACCAACACAGACATGCAGACCACATCCTCCTTTTACTAGCATGAATTTAGGAGAAGGAATACGGAATCACTTGAACTGAAACCGTTCCAAGAGAGAGTGCAAAACTAACTCCTCCAGCTTCAAAGAGCAGCAGGAAGCAAGATGGGATGACTGCTAATGTTATACACAGGCAAGATCACATTTCCATACAGAAGTCCATAGCCAATTAAAAAGACAGGAAAATGTGTACAGAAAACGCAAGTGAAATGAACATGCTTTCAACCACAGTTTTCCTCACAAAACATCTGTCGGACTCCAAGAGAAATGCAGCTGACCCACAGTAGCTACCACTAAAATAGCTTAAAATGCTTAATTAGGTCACTCTGTGCAAGAACTATCATAAATTTCACACCAATCTAAAATGTTGGGGAACATCCCTCCCAAATAAAGGGAAGTATTTTGGGATACGAAAACAACAGTAAGTATCATCTAATGAGGAACAGACAAAGAAAAATGCCAAATGCTGTCAAGCCCTGATACTTCAGATAATGGCTAAAATTTATGGCTTCCTTCACTGGTAGGCAGAAGTACAATTAGAATTCTCATAACTACCTCCTATGTGCTGGCATACTATGTTGTGTTTATACTGCTACAGATAGATTAGAAGATAAAAAAATAAATTCTATTTAAAAGTACCCTTTTTAACCCAAGGTAATAACTAACTTTTTTTTCTTTATGTGGGTTTGGACACGGTTTTGCACATAGCTTATTGTTAACTGAAGTAATTTAGGCAATTTTCATTGTATGCACAAGAATTAAGCATTTAAGTAGCCTGCTATATACATAGAAGCCTCTGTTGGAAAAATCACACAAAACAAGAACAAACGAGCTATTATGAGTCACTTAATAATCTCCTGCCCAAATACAGCTTGATAATTAAACAGGTCAAATTATTTCTTAAATTATTTAAATTTTGAAAAATTTGAATGTGTTTGGCTTGAGGAACTCTTGAATGAAAAGCATCAGGAAGTATGCACACCCATTCTTTCATCTTTTACTTGTATCCAGTGATATGTATCACTTGGAACTGACACTGGTTAGAAGAAGCAGAGGGGAATGAAAGGGAATGGGTTTTTCTCATCTTCTTCATAAAGAAAGCACAATTATAGTATTTTGAACATGCAGTCTGGATTCAGATAATCACAGATGGTTTTGCAACAGAAACCTGCAGGCATCTTTTCCCTATAAATTGTGGGAAAGATACATGCAGGGAAAGCACTGACAATTTCCCAAAGAGCAGCAGCATATCAACAACTGAACCTTGAACATTTCTCCTACTGTGTGCTGTGATTTTGGCCAGACACTGCTCTCTGCTTTCTCATTCATTTTGCACTGTTTGTGTGTCTTGCCCTTCATGGTTCCACAGATCACTGCTCTTACCACGAGCCACGTAAAATGGCCTGTTTCTTAATTATAGCACTGATCCCAAAGGACTTGTGTCGACCCTTTAGTACCATGCCTTTGAAGTCAGAGAAAACTGCTAAGCAGCTTTGCAAAGTTTATATGGCTTCAAGAACATCGCACTTCACTCCAAATCAAACCACTGTGCAAAGCACCAGAGAATATAACCTGTGGTAGGCACCCAAAGCAACTTCATGCTTTCAGTGAAGAAGTATCACTGAAAACTCAAAACTTGCAACTAAGCCTAACCCTAATCAGTAAAACCAGTAATAAATAAAAAGTATCTACAAAGCAACGAGGCTTGTATGACAGAGGAGGGTGACTGACTGTTTTAAATTTTCTAGATCTTCATAAAAAAAAAAAAAAAGGCAAGTAAACTTATACTAAAAACTATACAATATTGTTCTGTGCCAGCACAATTTTCTACTTTTTACCCAAAAGCTGTGGATGCCTCATCCCTGCATGAGTTCAAGACCAGGCTGGATGGGGCTCTGAGCAACCCAGTCTAAGTGTCTGTGCCCATGGAGTGGAGGGGGTGGAACCAGATGATCTTTGCCTCTTCCAGCCCAAACCATTCTGTGGTTCTATAATTCTGGTTTACCTACACACCTGAAGTCACAATGAATGCCTTTTATTACAGTTGCTTCAGACATCAAACCTATTTGACAAGTGCCTCAGGAGCTCCAAAATACAAACTATACAAACTGGGAATACAGCTTTCCTTTCAGTCATTATTTTTCTAACAAAGCTTTACCTTTAATTCTTCCCTTGCATGTTTTGTACATCTGACTAAATGAATCCACTCTACTGTTGGCACTAGGCAAACAGTGAATAAAATCAGTGTTTTGTTCTCTGCTATTAACAAACAGTTTCTCATTACCAACTTAAATATTTCTTTTTGTTAAGAAGAATAAAAAGTGAATGGTGAATTTCAATTGCTACACACTGTCTTACAACTAATAGAGCTAAAATTCTATTGTCCTTGCATGACTGGAAATTATACTGTAAAACCAAAAATGTTTAAACTTTTATTCTTCACAATTCCATGAAAACTTGATAATATAATCCTTACAATTTGCCTTACGCAGCTTCTGAAGATCGGTGTTTGAGTAGAAACTCATAAATCACGAAAAGCTTATGAAGAAACTTGATCTAGATTTTAACATGCCCTTGTTCTATCAAAACATAACAGTAAAATCAATGCCAAAAGAAAACAAGACAAAATGAGTGCGGCATCAAGTCCTTAAATCCACAAAACCAATAAAACAACTTCAGTTGGCAAATGAGGAAACTCAGACCCACGTGTCTAATAAGCTTATATATTCCTTCCCTAAGTCCTGTTGAAACTAAAATAAAGATCACAAAGGATGCCAACAAACATACTCACATGAAGTCAGAACAAAGTTTTAAGTCTGACTTAAGAAAAACAGCACAGCAACTTTATACTGACAGCAATTTGACTCAGCCAAATAGCTGATAAAAAGAAGTCTAACAAAACACAGGAGGTGAGATAATAAGAAGTTTCTTTACCTAGCCATTCCCAGGCTGGAGAAGTTGGAAGGGACTATCAAAACATCGAGCCTGGAGAAGGGGTGGGTGCCCAGCGTGGTGTGAGCAGCTGAGAGGCACTGCGGGATGAGCTGCAGCAAACGTTCCTCGCAGCGCTCCACCAGGCACCGGGGAGAGAAGACTCTGTGAGGAATGACTGCCTGCAAGCTCGCAGCAGGACTTTGGAAACGGCAGGGGTATTCCACGTGGCCACACACTTCTTCATGCCATCTGACAACAGCAAAACAAAACAACAGTTTAATGGGATACCAGAAGTGCACACGGCTGGGTGGGCTAAGACAGGGATATCCTTCAGACACCAGAATGACAGAATTAACTTCCATAAAACCAGCTCACCTGTATTCTCACACTGCTCATACATGTGCAGCACTGTGAAAACACTCATTGTTACATGTGTGAGTAGAACTGATAAGCATTACTCATAACTAAAAAGACAGTAGTCACATCTTGTTTTTATAACAGATATGCATCAAAAGAATAAATGCTCAGAATATATGTAAAAAGAACTAATAACAATAAAAATATTTATTCAGAAAATTCCTATTCAAATTTGACTATGAAAATAAAATTCCATACATATTGACATACATTAACACAAACATATGAGGTGCAATTACAATGAAATTCCATGAGGGATTTTTTCTGTTGTTGTTACTAAATTCTCTCACTTTTAATGATAATTTTTTCTTCTTAAGTAAAGAACAACAGTAGATATCAACTCAGGTTTATCACCATAGACATTCAATAATACCACATTAGACTCAACCTTACTTTATACTACTTTTGCAGGATATTCAGAGCTGTAGCTGGAAGAAAGGAGGGGTAAATCAAATCCTTCCTAAACACTGAGTCATATACCTTCACAATAAGCTATCTGCCCAAATAGACTCATATCTAAACAGAAATCAACTTCATGTTTTCACCTGTTAGCCTGTCTTCTGCACAGTGGAGAGCTTCTCTTTGGTTTGAAATTTCAGTTTAAAGAATCTGGTTGTACTATGCCTGGACAGGTAAAGCACCTGGCATTGCCCAAAGCATTTATACTTGGAAGACCATGCTGCAGCTCAGTGCTGACACAAAAAACAAAATGATACCATCTAGAAAAGGACAAGATTTTGTTGAAGTGTCAACACTTTAGCACCTTACATAAGTCTTTCTTGTCAAAGATATGGACTCTAAGTTCTTTCAGTGATCACGTACGTAAAGAAACCACATCCATCAGTAGACTTTTTTTTTTCTAAGCATGGTCTAATCCAGTACATTTCTGCTCTAAAACAATGTCACTTTGTATTTTATTATCAGTGTTGAGATTAATGTAAAAACTGCCAAGCACTTAATGACCAGGAGGAGATAAGAAAGTTAGAAACACCAAAGTTCTATTTAACATTTACTTTGATACAGTCTCCTCAAGTAAAACTCATTGGCACCTGGATACAAATTGCATTACACGTTTCAACCACTTCTTTGGGAACTCCTTCCTTTTCCTGATGCCCAGAGTTTATCTTCATTATCTTATCTGTGGCACAGGCTTAACATTTGCTTCTCTGTCCACTTCACAGCCTTTCTAGAAACGTCTGCTACTGTGCATAATGTTAGTCTGGTAACCTGGTCTCAGAGACTAAAATAAGTAACAATCTCTGTTGTGCTAACCCCAAATAAAGATCAACTGGATATAACTGTGAGAGCATATTTATAAGGACATACATTTTTATGTCCTAATAAGCTGCGAAACAACCTTGTGCACTTAGGGTTTCCTCTTTTGTCTATGCACAGCAGACACCCCCCTGCAGAGGATTTTTGGAATTTTTGAACTCTTTTTTCCCCCTAAGACACATTAGCTCTGTTTCTTCCACTGTCACTATCTCATCTGCTGCAGATAAATCACACCGTGTCAATTAACTCATCCAATAACCATCACACAGATCAACTCATAACAGTGACCATCACACCTAACAAAAAGGTACAAAAATATTTCCTGTGTTTCAGAAATTTTACAAAAGGTACCAACAGTGTCAAAATAACCTTTTGCACAAATCAATAAAAATTCCTATTACCAAATGTGCCATGCATTAGAGAGGAATATACAGTGAAGATCTACAGCTTACTTCCGTAGAGGCAGTCATAGTATAAACAGAAAAATGGCAAAGGAATAAACACAAAACAATTTCTAGAGGCTTATCAAACCTATAAACTATTTTAAAATTTGAATAGGCATGTCTTACTCAACCTAGGTAAATTATAAAAATTTCTGTTTCCAAGATGAATAAGAAATTTTTTAACCAAAATCAGCCAAGATGCAAGCCATCAGAATCCTTTAATTTAAAATTCAAAAAAAAAAAATATCCCTATTACATTCTTAAGTTCCAAACTGTCACTAGCTTTACCAAAACCATAAGGACTTCCACTGTCTTAATGTTAAGACAGCATTAGCCCAAAACAGCTGTCTGAAAGGCAAGGGGTTTTTCTGGTAAAGTTTCAAACCCTTATGACCTGACTAACCCAATCACCTTCTGCTGACAAGGGGGGAGAGCAGTGGCAGTTGTTTGCCTGGACTTGTGCAAAACGCTGATTAGAGTTTCCCACAGCCTTCTGCTGCACAAACTGGCAGACACAGACTGGCTGGTCGTGAGCAGGATGGGTACAGCGCTGACTCACAGGCTGCACTCAGGGAGTGGTGATCAGTGGTTTTCACTCAGGCAGGCAGCCTGTCACGAGTGGAGCTCCTCAGGAAATCATGTTTGGCCTCACACCATGCAACAGCTTGGCAAATATCCTGGATGGGGGGACTGAAAGCGCTGTCTCCAGGCTTGCTGATGACACCGAGCTGGGTGGCTAAGTGGACACATCAGAGGGGAGAGCTGTGGTACAGAGAACCAGACAGGCAGGGCTGGCAAGAGCAGAGTGAGGAGCAACAAATCCTGCACCTGTGGTGACACAACCAAACAGCCCAGCTCAGGCTGGGCCTGGTGTGCCTGGGGAGCAGCCCTGCTGGAACGACACAGGCGTTCCTGCTGGACAACAGCCCAACAGGAGTCACTGGAGGAAAACCAGATCCTGGGCTGTAGCTCCAGGGCCACTGCTGGCAGAGGGACAGACACAGCCACCCCCTCTGCTCAGAGCTTGCCAGGCAGCACCCGGACCATCATGTCTCATTCTGTCCTCACAACTCCAGGAAGACACAAGAGGTCTAAAGGAGCTCCATGTGAGGAGGGGAGGGGAACTGTGAGCAGGAAATATTCTAGCAGGGGGTATTAGATGTCCAGAATGGACATGAAAGATCTTAGAGCCAGGCATTGTAAGAAATGCCTGGGCCAAGACAGGAACTGGCATTGCTGCAGCAGGGCATTAAGTGACACAGGATGTAGGATACAAATCCTGAGGACAGCATGATTTATGAATCCTATTGCTCACTAAGCAGCTTGTTTTCACATAAGAAGAACCACACCCATACCCCTGAAATAATGCCTTTGGAATTATCTTCCTGCCAAGGTTTTTCTGTTCAGATTAAACAAGTTCTATTTTGATTCACCTACTAATATGACTTATTTTCATATTCCAGAGAGTAAATAAAATTCTAACCATGTATCTCATTTTTCAACAATATTATACACACCAACCTGAAATCAGCTTGTAAAGATGGCAACGAAAACTCAGTGTTTGTTTGAATAGCAGCTGTGGAGGACTGCTGTTTAACTTCCTGCCAGCACCCCACAGCAATAGTGAAGGTGGATGCTGGCATGGGCATAGACACATAGTAGTACCAGCTCAAGACATCTGTAAATAAAAAGAACATTTGTACAGACTCATCAGTTTCACAGCACACATTAGGTACTCGACATTTTTACATACTTGAGATCTTGGGCCAAACCTCCCACCTTTAATCTTGGTATTTTTGAGGAAAGAAAAATAATTGCCCCTAGACACAGAAGAACAGTCACAGGTAACCACCACGAATTCAGTACTGTTTACTTGCACCTCCAACTTTGCTCTATCTGCTGATGTCTGTGTCTGCAAATAAATCATCCATAAGTGGGATGTTATTAATGCAACTTAACGCAATTGTATTGTTACTGCCCAAGAATTACATCAGACTTGAAACCTAATAACACATTTAAATACAAACATACACAAAATATTAAAATTGAATTCTTTCAGCCTTGGATCTACCACCTTATGGCTTTGTCTTGTTTGTATTATGTCACACAGAACAAAACCTTTCTTTGTGTTCTGGACAGTACCAAACTGATAACCAAATTATAACAAAGAACACTAATGCTTGTGAACTGGACAATCTGAGATATGTGATGTGTCAACCAGGCAGTAAGAAATCAACGCTTGGACTCAGATGGGATATAACGTAAGTCAACAGTTTGGTCATGAGGGGCAGAATGTGCTAAAACAAGATGAGAGCCTTGTAAAAAGATGCTCTTGTCATTATGGGAACACAATGTGGGAAGACAAGGAGTATGGTATAGGATGATTGTACGTACAAACAGATTTTGATAAACCAGAGGACATTTTAGGACAGCATACCATTAATATAATTGCTTAGACTTTCAGTTTACTCCTTTAAAAAGGATATAGCTTAAAAGTCACATCCACACATTCATTTATAATACAGCTACTACACCACAGTAATAGATTAAATCTCTTGGAAAGAGCCTAGCATGAGTTACAACCTGATGAATCATGTGCAAATAACTGTAGCTGGGGCAACTGTGGAAACATACAAACCTCATTTATTTTAGGAGAACATTAATACTTGTCCTTTTGCAATACTATTCTGACTAGGGCTATGGAACACTACCAAAAATTTTAAAAGAAAAAATCCACAACCGAGTGCAGATCACCAAGGCATAAAGGAAAGGAAATAAACAACTGCTGCAAAGTATCTCTTGATTTCCTACCTTAATGGCCACAGAGGGTCAAGCTGTCCAAAGGAAGGACAAGCAAAAAATTCTTTTTGTTTAGCCTCAATGAATTTTCCACCTGCTATTTAGTATGAAAAAACAATACTGTTTGTGAAGTCTTCTGAGAGGCAGATAAAGCCTTTGTCTCTTTATATGCACTTATACTCCCTTCCCCATTCCACTTTTGGCAACGTCCAACATCAAAAACCTTTTGTATTGTCAGGTGAACATATATTATTCCTCTAATTTTCCTAACTCCTGTCAGTGCGTAAGCAGAATGAATTTATTTGCTCCAAACACATTAAGAACAAGAGGGATAACTGTCTGCCAAATTTCACTCCACCTTTTTTTTTTATTATTATTATTATTAACTTAACAAAGCTACAAATGAGCCAAGACAAGCAAGTGCCACCTTGAGAGAAAAAGGTCACCCAGGACTGCAACAATATATTATTTCCAAATACCAAACTCCTGATGTTCGGAGTTTCATTGATAGAAACCGTGCTCGAGGCCCAAGGCTGCACACACTGTGGTCAGTAGCAGCTTTACCACCGACTTTCATGTGCACAAGGCAATGCTCAGAGGGACTGCACTTCATGTTGCATCTGTCACATACAGGGCATTACAAAATGCTCCATGCAGTTGTGCTAACTATGAAACCTTAAGGATTAAATAACAGCAGGGAAAGAGTGAAAATTTGAGGAACTGCAATGGAAAAATCATCGCATGTTTTCAACTATGTTATGGAAAAAGCAAGGAAGTCGAAAAGCAATCAAAGAAAACTGTTCCAAATGGCACGAGGTGTAAAGGAGAAGGCTCTCACAAACGTGAGGAGATTGTCTAAAAGTGAAGGGTGTTGGCCTGTGCTAGGCAAACAGATATTAGAGAGGGTTACAGTGAGAAACAAATTTAGTAAGACATCCTAGAGCAAGCAAGACCACAGAGGCTTTTTAAAAAAAAAAAAACACAAGTAGATGAACAGAATTTCAAAATGAATGGCAATCAGTTTAGCAGTCCAGAGAGAATAGAATGTACAGCATTCAGAAATTTACACACATTAGCAATGAACATATGCTGTTTAGAGCAAACCATGCAAAAGAGCAAAGGTACCAAAACCCCTTCTATTTTGCAAGCATTACCGAAATCATGTGAACTATGGATCCTCCCAGAATAGGATCCAAGATTTCCACTGTCTCTACATACCTAACCAGAGCTCAGTCCATTTCCTGCAGGGATTTGAGATGCCTTCTGCGTTCAGAGTGTAGAACTGTGTAGGGTAATTCATCCTACAGTTGTTCTGTCTTGAACAACAGAAATCACATGCACAGGCATGACAAGTGAGTTCTCTCTACAGAACCACAGAATCATTCAGGTTGGAAAACAGTGCATTTGCTGATCAGTGACTGAAATGGTCTTTATGCTGGCAACACTTCTCTACTGACAGCACCACGAAGCACTGTTTCAGAGGGAGCTAATTAACTTACTTATATTTTGTCTTCTCCTCTCACTACTGGTAAGACTGTCTCCCAGCCTGACTTTCTCTCCCATAACTTCACTTCCTTCCTTACACTTTCTTCATGTCACTGGGCTTTGTTTTGTTTTCCTTCATCTGTATCGTACGATTTATCCCACGACATAGATCGGGATCACAAGCTCCGCTCAACTCCCCTTCCCTCCCCGCGGCTGCCCCGTGCTTTTCAGCGTCTACCTTGGAGACAGCACCACCTCTAGGACAGCAGAAAACAGCACAGCTGAAGCAGGGAGGCGGCTTTCTTTACCCAAACGCAGCGATTCGTACCATAAAAACATCTTCAGACTAAGCAAGAACATCTTGGGAAGAACAAGATATTAGGCTGGGGTTGGTCCACGGGAAAAATAGAGGAAGACCAACCCAGCCCTGCTATTTGTAATGTTATTTTAAAAGAACTTGAATCCTACACATAATTATTTTAGGCAATTATAATACTTCCAAAATACTTTGTTCTTTTTTCCACCAGGGAATTCTGAAAATATTTTTTTTCAGTTCTGCAAAGCAAATCTATCATGCCATAACTATAAAAACCATACAGCAACAATCACCTGTTCTGAGTTAAAACTGAAAAACTTTCCATGCAAATGTTTAACAAGAGCAGGAAATTTTAATCTATTTATAATTTCGCAAAAGAACAATTTAAAGGTCGTTTATTTCTTCTACTTGAAATAATAATGCTGACTGATGTAATTCCTTCCTAGAATTTTTAATGCACTTAGCTATCTTTGAAATCATTAAAATTGTTCGAGTCCTGTAGAGTTCATTATGACTGAAAAAAATGCCTGAGTTAGTATCTGTTGATGCCAGATGCAAAGCCATTGTGAATATTTGTACTTACCAGTATATTTCCCCTGAAATAGCTTGCACTAACACAAACACCACAAAACACAGATAATGTTCACGATGTACTAAAACCATGAAGCTCAGCCACCTCTAGGGAAAAGGAGAGATAGCACACAGCACCCGATACACAAAGTAAGAGCTGATACTAATATATAAAACTGCAGCTCAATAAGTAGTTATGTCAAAACTATTACTTGGTTGGAGCACCAGGACTAAGAACCCTCCAGCTTTCTGAAACTGTTTGCAACTTGCAGAGATCTCTGATCTCCTCTGAAAGCCAGAATTTCCCACAGAGCACCCAAGCATTCATGTCAGAGCATTTGTTCAACAGCAGCTCAGAGGGATGAGCTGCCAGCTCCCGTGCTGTAGTTCCTGACACATGTTGGAAATCAATCAACACAAGGGCTGGACTCCCTTGTTGTGCCTTCTGAAAAAGTGAGGGGAGCAAAACAAAAGCAAGTGTCACTGCTGCTAAGCACAGAGCAGGAGCAGTGGCTTCTGCAGAACCTTGTTTCCTCTCAGTAACAGTGCACACCTTCTCACTGTACATGTAGATGTCAAAACAAGGTCAAGGATTACGTAATGGTAGAGCAAGCACGCAAAAAGCAAGCCAGTCACTTACTGGCTCAGTATCTGCTTCTTCAGCGTGAACCAAACAAACGGAAAGGTGTTTGTGGCTAAATGTATTTGCACCTTCTGGGTGTTACAGTAACGTGCTGAAGGGAAGTAAAAATGAAAACCGCTGAAAAGTAAATCCCATGTTAAAGGGCTCACATTACACACACATACCCAGTGCTCCCTGTAAAGCTTTCCCCCACAGACATTGTCAATTGCACTCTTACGATTAAATTCCCTTTGCTAACTGCTCCCGAAAGAACGCACAGTGCTCTTAAACACTTCTAGGTCACACTCAGATAGGTACTATTTCTACTTGCACATGTGTCTTATCACTATTTTCCAAGAAAAGTGGCCTCACTCAACATCAGGACAGGATCAACCACAGCCTTGTAGAGGGCAGAATGCAAAAATGGCACACGTGGGAGGAAATACGCTCTTACCAAAACCTGCAAAGGAGGAATCTGTGCATGAGAGTGCACCCAGAACAGCTATGCACTGGATTACTGCATCCACACACGGACTGTGTATGTCTCTGAGGCAGAATACAGACCTCTAAAAGCATGAAGGAATTGACCTTGCTTGCTGTTCTTTTATTGTCTGCCTGCAGACTGGTTATAAATATAACTTGTAGAGGAACAAATATTCAGCTAACTTGTAATCTCTTCAGAACAGATTAATTCACAGCTGTTGGCCAAAATGCTAATTCTTTCCAATAAACTGCATTTTAAAAGATTTATTTTACTATTCTGCCAGTTATGTATCATTTTATAATCATGCAGCACAGCAATAGCACACTCTATATAAATAGTATGGCAAACTTACTTTAACTGAAGTCACGCTGAAAGGCTTTTTCATTGTGTAAAGACAAAATTTTAAGTTGGATACATTTCATATGCCTTCCATAACTGCCTAACAACAAGATCTACACGGGACAGGTTATTTAACACAACAGACCATCTTGAACTTTTTTACTCTTAAAAGTTCTACTAATTAAACTAATGAATTTGTATTCCTACATTCATTAAGAATGTTTGGGGTTTAAAATATTCCTCTCAATACTACTTCTTTCCCTTCTTTCCCTTTTTCTCCCATATCTGTTTTGTAAATTTTTACAATTCCAAACATCTCTCTGGTTTGCCATTTCCATCTGTATTTAAGCACCAACATAATGAGGGTCTCTAATTAAACTAACCGAACACCGATGGCAAAGCCCTTATCCTAGTCTGAAGTCAAGTCCTCTTGCTTTCTTGATGCTGAGACAGGAAAGTATTGGTCTCCATATGAGCTGAGCAGCTCATCATGGCAGTTTTCCATATTTCAACAGCACAGACAAGCCTTGAAAGAGGCTTCACACATGGCCAAACACAACCAGACAATTCCATGCAAACAGATTAACTGATGGTTCTCAATTCAAGGAGACTTGAGAAAAAACATTCTTTTTTTTCCCCCAAGAATAAATTTGCCTATATAACAGGGAACAGAAGAATCTTTCCCCCAGAAATACTTATTTCTAACCCTTTCCTATATGCTACTTTTCATCAGAACTACTTACACTAGAAAATACAGAACTAGTTTGACAGGATATATCAAAACTAATGGGAGCAGGACATACTTTATTAGCTGTAGAACTCCCTTAAGAACTTCCTTCTCTATGCAGACAATTTAGAGAATAAAGTTTAACCAACACAGAAGAAAATCTTGTCTGCTTACTATTGCAAAAGGTTTGTTCTATCAATGCAAAAAAACCCAAACCACACAGAGATCAGATTTTTAGGGCACTGATCTGATATTCCTCATGTATTCAATGTATCTCAGGAAACAGATATGACACAATGACTGCCTGAAATCACTGGCATGCTGAACTACACTCCAACTGGAGAACTAGAACGGAAAGACAATTATCTACCAAGGCCTGCAGTTGTTTAGACCCTGGTAAGGTACTTCATCCACAAAACATTCAACCACAGAGTGATTAAAACAAAGCCTGTTTATGAAAAGTGAAAGTTAGCTTTGGAAGCACAGAGGGGGAAAAAAAGGAAAAAGCAACACAGTGAATTGTTGATACTTTCAATTCTTACTAAATTATCCTAAGGCCTTGAGCAGGAAGCTTTTCCAAAGAGTGACATGGAGATTACAAAGAGACATGGAAGTGCTTTTAAGGTTAGGAACTTCATTCTTTCAAAAATCACATATCTACTAAGCTTTATTTCAAATTATAAAAGCATAGAAAACAATTTGCTATAAAGAATACACTTCACCTTCTCGAAGCTGGACTGGTTCTGCTGAGTTTTCCCCACTCATTAATACAACAAAGCCTGCAGCTGTTCGGACAGAGGCTTGCCATGTTGACAAGGCAATGGGTGGTTCTTGACATGGGAAAAGGGCTCTGTTGTTTATTGGTGATCCCATCGTATAAACACACGGCCTAGACAGAAGAAAAAGGGATTGAAGTTGGATTTACAATGAGAAAGACTGAATTAAGTTCTCTATCAAAAATCAAAACTACTGTTGTACTGAGGTGTTTTTTATTTTAACCTCAGCTTTGTAGATTTCAAACCTGTATGATATGAACCAATCAAATTACAATCTAAGTCATTTAAGACAAGAAAAGCAAGATTACTACAATAACTTTATATGAACTAGAAAATACTAACTCTAATCTTTCCCCTCCCCTGCTTTTGCACGAGCCTTCCAGCCTCATACATAGCTTTCAGCTGAACCCATAAGGCCAAAGAAGGCTTCTGAGTATCCTCTGAAGATGCCATTACAGGGCTTCAAAGCGGTGATACCTCCCTGTTGTAATTACAGTAGTGCTTTCGTTATCATCATTCCCAGCTCCTGGATTAACAACCTGGAGGCTCATACAAACTCAGCAGTAGATCCAGTTTTTGAGTTTTCCTTAGTCCAAGCCTCAATAAATCATGGCATTTTTACACTTATTCTTAGAGTAAGGTAATGCTCACCTGTCTTTCAGAATTTCAACCACAAACTACTCCTCCATTCAAATTATTCCTTCCCTAATGCTAAACTATAGAGAGGGAAAGAACTGGCAGTCACAGATGACAAAGATTCTGAAGATATATCTTTTGTCCTAAGTCAATCAGTGCTTTTGGACCCAGGGCTGTCCTTGGCATAGTCAAGTTACTGTGGTTTAACTAATGCAGGCCAGCTCATCTTCCAGTAAAACAGGGATGGAAACTGCAGTTTAAGTAGACATATTGTTAATGAACACAAGTAGAAAAAGAAAATAATCCAGCTCCCCCTGTCATGTATCAGAGTGAATAGCGTAGGACACAGATATCAAGTGAAGCTCAGACAACTGCAGTGGAGAGAAAGCCAAGTGGTCATCTTTTAACCAGTAAAACAAAATGCACAACTAAATGCGAAAGACCACTTCTCTGTATAAGTTTTTAATTAATCTATTTGGAATTGAACTCCTAAAATGGAATCTGTAACCAACTCTGATATATACAAAAGAATTGGGTTTCTCCCACAAAAACAAGCAGGGCATAGAAGTGAGTTCACGAGGAAAGGGAAGAACTTGTGTTTTCACCTTCCAGGAGGACCTGCTTCCTCCTAGGAAGGCCAGCCAAGAGATACTGGACTTATTATTTACCCTAAAACATGTGTGTTGGGAGGGATGAAGATGAAAAGATGGTTCCTCATTCATGAAAACTTCACCAAAATACACAGGCTTATAAAAAGAGATCTTAGCAGAGTTCATAGGAGTGAGAGGAAAGGTGGGGTCAGTGACTGCTGCTACACGTATTTTACCAATGATTTGCAGGCATTTTGAAGGCTGTTTTGCTGAGTGCCAGGAGTACAACCCAGTCTTAAGAGCAACACAGGGGATTTTCATATTCTGCAGAAGTTTTAGAGGTAAATTCCACAATGACTGAGAAAACTGGCTGGTAGAACACTGCTAAACTAAATGTTGTAAAGCTGTGTCACATACAGTATAAACATTACATAGAACAGATGTTACCAAGATCATTAATGCTTCCTGGCTCTCAGAGAGTGCTTTTTACCTTCAGACCATATTATATCAGTCTGCTAAAGAAACAGCTATGAAAGACAAGTTCTACATATCAAAACTATCAGAACAACAATTATATCCGTTTTTAATTAGATATACTTCAGTTACAGTAGTAATTTCTTTTTACAATATTGGTAATAGTGTAGTGTTATCTTAGGACACCCACTGCAACTGACAACTTGCTTTGATCTGGGTCAGGTAGCACAGTTCCAGCACGTAAAAGAACTAGAAATATAAATCTTATCCTGATATGGATCAGATTCTTCACTTGATCTAGAAAAATTAGGTACATCAAAGAATGACAAGTTTTACACTACTTTTGTCAATTGATACAATATTTGCCTTTTTTTTTTTTTTTCTGATTTATCTCTACCCCTGCTAACAAGAAACTTCACAGTTCCTTTCTTCTTTTCTGTTATCTACCCTCTCCATCTCTGGTCTCTCACTTTTAAAGGTCTTGTAACATTCAGATCATCTACTTATGTGATATTTAGGCCATCCATAATCTTTGCCAAGATAGGTTGGAATAGATAAGGAAATTGCATACACCAAAAGAAAGATAAGCAGAGAACTTAGGCTGTCTATTTAGTTGGAATTACACTGGAAGAACAAGTGCCTGCAAAACATATCTCCAGTCACTCATCTGGGAAACCTTAGGGCTAGTAATTCCCAGTGAACAGCCATCCAGGCTACTGGAAAAATCAAGTACTAGTTGTGGAATTGTTTGTTTTTGCTCCAAGAGCAGACCTGGGACTGTCTGTTGTTCAGGAATCTCTCAGAGGAAAATCTGATTCATGCAATCCTAACTCATCAGCAGTCCACGTATTTCCATGACATAACAAAACCAGTGCAAAGCGGTTCTTGGCAGACCTCTGTCTCCCATACAAGCCTATCAAGTATAATAACAAATCAAATACTGCCTTAAAGCCAACAATAAACATTCAGTTGATGTTCTGTTCTCTGAACAGGAACCTGCAGGCCTTGAGATACCTGCCATCAAACACCTGAAACACGTTCGAAGGCTCGGCCCTGTCAACCTGCTTTGGTTGCTGACTGTTCAAGGCTTTCTCGAGGAAAACACCCAACACAGCAACTCCACCCCTTTCCTGCATTTCAAAAAATACATTTCCCACTTCTTGAAGAGGTGTCTCCATTAAAGGATGCAAGGAGGCAACCTCTTGCAAACTACAAGGCCACTCCCTGTAAAACCACTGATGTTTGCAGCTGTTTCTTTCTCTAAATTGCATTGTCATTTTCATGAAGCAAGCAGGATTTCCTGGCATCTAAATCACACCAAGTTTTTATTCCGCCTTATCAATTTACATATCTGCCAGGTGCCAGTGATTGCCATCAGATTCCAACAGAGCAGGTACTCTTGTTTTCATTTTTCTCCTAGACAAAACATCAGTCCATAATTACCCATGTTTTTTCATGGTCTTCCTTTTAGTTAGGACAACTAATTCAGAGGACCTAACTCAAATTTTATAGAAATATTTGTTTGACGCCATTCACATTATCAAGAATATCAAATCTTTTCATTTCATACTCAAGGTCTGCCTACACTTTTAAAATTATTATTATTGTTACTTTTATTTTACTTCTGCATTCTATTCATGGTACCATTGGTTGTTGCTTAGGAATCACTTCATATGACATAAGTAATCCAACAAACTTCAAACTGCTTCATTAATTACTCAAATATAAATACTCATCACTGGGAACAAAATTACACAAAATAACAGTAGAGAATTCCTCGCAGGAAAGGGCAGCCTCTTAGGATTTGGTCTGTGACTTGCCAGGGTTCTGGAGCATCTTATTCTACCAAACCTTGTCCATGAAGCAAAAACAAGCTCTTTATTCCCTTCCTGCATTTCCAGCATGCAAGAGCACAGGATGATGCCAACTCACGCCACTGAAAAATAAACTTCTATTTTCATGACACATTTCCTAATTTGTAGTAGATAATGCTACCTTCCAAACAACCTCAGTAGTATATTCCAAACAAAACTTATTCTCTTTCATCCTCTGCCCCCCCTACTTACTTTCAGCCAGGTTAACTACCTAATATGCCTTATCAGGCAGCTGAACACACAGCTGTGCCATCACACCAGTGCTGGAAGGAACCAGCATCCAAGTTCAGAGAGGGCAAGAGTGTCTCTTTTATCAAATGTATTCTGGTAGGCCTCCTGCCCATGGCTTTATAGCTTCCCCTCCTTCTCTCTTTTCATTAACACAAGTCACCCCTGTGGCTGACTTTTTTGTTTGGTCCCAAGAGTCCAAACAGGGATATGCTGAAATTCCATGTGTTCAATTCCTCTACTAAAAATAGGAGTGTGCCCTGCTGTGATAGCATGTTTGTATACACTTAACTTGCCTAAGCTCATCCCCCAAAAGATTTGTTTCAACTGATTATTTTCTGTGTATTATAATACATCATTGTTTAAAACAAATAAAATTGAAGTCTTGATAAAATTGTGCATAGGCTAAATTTCAAAACATTGTACAACTGTTAAATTAGAGGAAACACTGGAGTGGTCAACACAATGTTTGTACTTTGTTATTTGCTTTCTTCAGGGTTAGAACCACAGTATAGACTCCTTTGGCAAAGGATTTCACATCTGCCTAAAAAGGCACCATAAGCATAATTTGGAACAATTAAAGGAATTCTCTCATGAGAATATAATGTAATATTACTTTATACATTATAACTGGGCTTTAATTTTAGAAAGGGCAGAAAATATTGACAGCATTTTGAACAATGAGTTTTACCACTGTATTTATGGGCTCATTACATGAAATTTTATTTTAAAAATGTAGCAAGAAAGTCTGCTGTGAAAATTCATTTTCTGACAGACATCAGTTTTTGGAACACCCTACTCAAGCCAGAAAATAAATCAACTTGAAACTATTTGCTATTCCCTCCTATAAAGAGCTTATATTAAAGATTTCTGTACAGTACCATATATTTTCACAAACATTTGATATAATGCCAATTCTTCCTCTTGTTTCAGCTTGCAGTTCATTGGCTACTATCAATGCACTTAACACAAAAGATGAAGGAAATTTCAGAGGTTGATTATGAGAGTAAACCAGAAAGCACTGCCCTTCTAAGCTGATTGACAAAGGACTAGCTGTGAAGTAAGTCTGTTATTTGTTATGTATATTGATCTTCACGCTGTACAATCAGCTGTGTAAGACTGGAAGGAAAAAGATCACAAAGTATGACAGCACAAATAACCTGTCATTCACACCTTCTCTTCCCCTGAATGATCATTCCCTATTCCCTGCACACCCTTATTGACAGACACACAAATTATTTATTTATTCCCGCTCAGAGTGGAAAGACACAATCACTGGGACAGGCCTGAGGTCCTCAAGTCCATTGGAGTTTCGTGAGCAGAGAGTTTGTCTGCTCTCCTAGAGGACAGCAAAAGGATTCAAACCAAGGATGAAGTGAAAGCTCTGCATACTCATATCTTCACAGCTGCTCAGCAATTACATGATTCTACTACAGCTATTTAAAATTACTGCACACAAAGCTTTCAGCACACAGGTACATACTTGCCACTCTGATCTGTAGTCCACGCAACGGATCTTCCCTCTGGGTTGGTTTTGTACCATATCCTTATCGCGTGAGGAAAGTCTGCCGGAGTCTGAATCCCTGATTTCCTGACCTCCAGGCTCCAAGGGCCGGTGGCAAACAGAAGCTCTCCACAGCCAGGTGCCTGGCTGCAGTCAGTAAAATAGGACAGCTGCTCCTTCCAGCGATTCGCAGGTAAGGTCACGAGTCCATGCACAATCTGATTCCTGACATTCCCCAGCTCCTCTGAAACATCAGGTAGCTTGGCACACCTTGTAAATTTTTCAGTGCCCAACACAGCAGCAACATCTACCTCTTCAACCCTCAGCACAGACAAATCACAGCAGTCCAACACCAGCACAAAATCCTTGTTCCCATGATTCGCTCTGTCACAGCCGTCCTTTGAACTAGACATCCCAGAAGCCCGTTCATTGTTGCTATGGTTACCATTTTCATCCGGAGATGGTAACCTGATTGCTTCTTCACCTTTACCACTGACAGCAAAACCATTAGATTCCATTTCAGACGAGCAGGCACTCACACTTGTCACAGGAACGTGGCAGGGTTCAGATGCCCTCATTTCACGGCATTGATCAAACTCTGACTGGCAGCATTCTTCGCCAGTGCTGCTGGTCTTCTGGTACCGGCTCCCAGTCTCGAAGAATAAAACTATGCTGCCTTCAATGACTTTACTTTTAAAATCCACATCCAAGTCCAATACATAGTGCTTTACAAGCATGTAGCTAGTGTTTGCCATTAAGGGCAAGTCATCCTTCATGGGGTCTAGCTGTGGATCCATGTTCCAGCCTGTTGAGCAACAGTTTTGCAAAGCCTTAGACAATTCTTACATATGATGACTCCAGAAAGAGAAGAATATTCAGCTTCCCAGTGCCAAAAATAATTCTGAAAAATATTAGAGTATTGAAGTTGTAGTTTCTCCACTTCTCACATTCTGAAAAACAAGCAAACAAACAAAAAAATCATCTTACAATCATTTCTGAAATGCACTATTCTAAAAGCTATTTTAAGTCCAGTTGCCTTTATTAGAAAAAGTACAGCCGAAGGGTGATTCTAACTCCACAGAGTGGCATTGATCTAGGATGGCACCAAGCTAGTTGCTTCAAGATTTGCTGTCAAGAACCACTTGGCTGTATTTTTCAGATAAGAACTCTAGTGAAAATATTTCTAGACAGCTTCTATAAACTGACAAAAACAACCCTTACTATAGTCAACTGCTGTTGACTCTCTTCACTAATCCTTTATAAAAGATACAAGGTTATGAAACATCTAACTTTATTTATATTACTGTACTGTTTTGAAGTTGTATTTATTTCAAATGTATCAAGAGATAGAGATATATTTCTACTGTGATTTTAAATAATGAGAGTAAGTATAATTTACCTCATATGTTTTAAAGTTTTAGAGTAATAATTTCATATATACAATGCATCTCCACAGATTAATACACTTTCCACATTACAACCTCCCTCAGATCAGCACTTCTACTAAACAGAAAGAACATTAGCCAATTTACTAGAGTGCATTCCAAGCATTCCTTTGAGATTACTCATGAAGATTTTTAAAAACTATAAGAAATACTTAAGGTATTTAATACACCTTAATAGCTGGAAATTCACAGCACTCCGGATAATAGGGCTTTACAGCAAAACAAAAAGGTCTTCTCACTGGAAAATATGCAAATACCTATAAAAGCATGAAAATATGAAAATGCATCAACATTTGTTCCAAAACAAAGCAGAAGCTCATCACAGAAGTTAAATGTCGTGCATTCTTTGTTTTGCTATGACCATTGCACAAAAGTCATGCAGTCTTAGCCCACTTAAGTCCTTTCTGTCTACTTTTTAAATGAGAAATAGAAATCAGAGGACAAAGGAGTTGTTAAGACATGCAGTTCTCCCCCTGGCATTTCAGTGACACTTTAGGATAGGCAGCCAAGCCTCTTCTAAGCGCCTTAAGTGAACAGACACTTCCTTGTGACATCATTTCAGTTTCTCCACTCATCATAGACTCCAGTGTCCAAAGCCAATTTTTGTGTAACTCTCCAAGTCAGCACAGAGGAGAACTCAGACTCCCCCAGGAATTGCTATTTCTTTTGTAGGAATCCAGGACATGCTCTCAAGCTACAATCAGTAAGTGAATGACTCAGGACAATAAATTACCTATACTGTTCCCTTCTCACAAAGCACACAAACGGAGCAATCTCCCTTCCTTGATGGCTTTCTAGCAGTAGGAACATCCCTTAAGAGGGTTATCTTTGAAGACAAGGTGAGAAAAATATTCCTTTCACGTTTTTATCAATCCTCCTATACTTTTGCAAACATACCAGGGTAACAAGTTCACATCAGAAGGTTCTCTTTCACTGAAATAGCTCAGTAAATTCAGGCAACATGAGCAATGCATCTATGACGTGTTTGCAACGCTGCGGACTGAACTGTGGACTGTTATCTGGAAAACAAAACCTCATGGCTTCTGGCAGGTCAGCTAATTATTGGTGATAGAGAAAAGAAACAAAGTGACTTGGTGGGGGGAAGACCCAACACTGAACTGACATTCAAGAATCCTTGTTTTGAACAAACACATTTTTAATTTGAAACCTAGATACAATATAATACTGATACATTTCATAAAATGTGAGTACTACAATAACAATACATATTTGTGCTATACTATTCGTAAGTGTTTATGTTCTTGGTTTTGTGTTTTGCATTTGGAAGATGGGATCAATTTCTTACCTCAAAAGTACTAAGATAATTATATAACTGACACCAAGTTCTTGGCTACCATGGTAAAAAGCATCTCTGAGAGGACTGTCAGATTTACATAACACTAATTAACATGGTAGATTAAAAGATGACAAATAGTGCCACGTAAGTAAGCTCTATCCAAATTACAAAACAAGCAAACAAACAAAAATAATTTGAAGTATTATTTTTTAAAAATCTATAAACTCTCTTCAAAGCTATTAATATCAAAATATGAAATCCATGAGATTCGAGAGACAATGGAAAACAAAGGCCAATTAGGGTAAAAAAAACAGAATGGACATTCATGGATTACATTGGAAGTTTCAGATCAACACTTCTGTTCAGTGGGGATGACACATCTAATCATGTTTACACACAGATCAACAGAGGTGCAGAGGAACACACCACAGACAAGTAGCAACTACCACTGCATACACTCTGACACTGAATTTTAAATCAGATGTAACACTGTGTCTGTGCAATCCTATCTCAAATCACCTTGACTTTGGGTTTCTCGGCTTTCAAAACCTCTGTGTAGCCACTCATCTCCCAAGCACTAGTAAGTGAATTTCAAGGGCTGTTTTCAGGTGTCTCGACTTCTGAACACCTCCAAAATGTTTTAATTAAATATTTTTAACGAGTCTACAGAACATTACAACTGTGGACCAAAGAATCTGATATGCTATTCTATGCTGATGGTATTGGGGACTCACTCATTTTAATGTCTTTGTAATTCTGTACTGGTTTTGATAATATCATATTGATTCATATTGATAGTGAATTAGTAAAAAGCTCTGTCTTCCAAGTAAAGCATGCTGCTGTTAAAAATTATAATTTTACTTACACCCTAAAATCTCAGATTGGAAGTTTCATTCTCTAAAGCAAAGTGGCATCTGAAGCAATGTGAGATAGTCCTATTTAGAGCTCTTTAAAGTGGGAAAGAAACTGAACTTATGCACTACACCTTTAAGACAGGATAATCAAGCATGCTTTTAATTTAAATGTTAATTTTACAATAATTTCACCAATTCTGACCTTTTAGAAGTAGGAGTTACATTATGAAGGTACAACAAAAAATTTCTGTACTATCTGTCTATGTCTGGAGCTGCCAGAGGTGTTTCCAAAGACTTACTGCTCACCAAAAAAAAAAGTATAGTTACCTTGTATTTACAACGATCAAGTAGAGATATTGTAATACATATTTGTGATAGTCACCTGATTAAGAGCTAGAAAGATGACTTGATGTTTCACTTAGGCCCCAAGCCATGCTACAGGAAAATTAACTTGATGTGAGATGGACAGATGCATTGTCTTGAACAACTCTACTAATTTTACCACTTTCAAATACATGGATAAGTGCTTGTGTTCCAGACACGACGGGCATCCCCTCCTTCAGTCTGTGCTTGGCTTACTAAATGTTGGCTCTCAACCACCTGGAAGAACACCTCAGTTTTATTCCAGAAGTCCCGGGGGCATCAGGCCCGCTCTGCTCGGCCCTGGGGTGGCCTCACCTTGGGTATCGTGTGCAGTTTGGGGCACCATGACATAATAAAGATATTAAGGGCTTAGAGAGTGTCCAAAGGAAGGTAACGAAGATGGGGAAGGGCCTTGAGGGGAGGCTGTGTGAGGGCAGTGAGGGCACTTGTTGTGTTCAGCTGGAGCAGACGAGAGGGGAGACCTCACTGCTGTGTACAACGTTCTCGTGAGGGGCAGGCACCAACCTCTCCTCTCTGTGAGCAGGGACAGCACTCAGTGAAATGGCCTGAATCTGAGTCAGGGCAGGGGCAGGCTGGATCTCAGTAAAAGGTTCTTCCCCCAGAGGGTGTGTCATGGGTTTGTTCTGAACAGGCTCCCCAGGGCAGTGGGCACAGCCCCAAGGCTGACAGAGATCAAGAAGCATTTGGACAACACTCTCAAATGCATGGTGTGACTCTTGGGGCTGTTGTATGGAAGATCAGTTGGACTTTGATGATCCTTGCAGGTCCTTTCCAACTCAGGATATTCTGTGATTCTATGATTTTGTTTTAAACAAAAAGAACTGCCTATGCTAACTACACAGAAACGGAAAGTCTTGCCTATATATTAATACCTCATGTATTTTTTGCACAGTGATGCCTATTGTGTCGTTACTAAGGCGGTTAAAATATCTCTGTAGTGCTTTCCAGACAACCAAAAGCCATTAGTATGCATTCTGACACATAAATGTCAAAGCATGCTTGTATCACTTGTTTTATACTGTGGCCTAACTACCTAATACAGTCTTCCAACAGAACATCTATTCATTCTGTATTTCCTTTGCTTCTTCCTTAGCAGGTTGAGAGGGTGAATTGTAGTCATGGTGTTCATATAATACAGGAAACAACTTCTTACTACATCGACTTCTAAAACCATACCCTTGCTGTACACCTTGAAAGTTCTCTGGCTGCATTCAAGCTTTGTATATGCAAACAGGGCATCTTTTACTACTGCTTCATAAAGGTGCTGTTCCTAGCAATATCCCTTGGATTTGATATGACAAGTTCTTCACTCTCTTATGCATATATCAAGGAACTGTCACCACAGAAAAGACACATTATTTCTAACATCTTTTTTTTTAGATATGTTGTCTTATGCAATGTTCTTTGCTATGTTATGCCCATATGAGTATCTGGTTTTCATTTTTGTGAAAGTAATGCATTTCACCTTTAGAAAAGGCAGTTCACTAACTGGAATCCAAGCATAAAAAATAATTAGAACTTGTAATTCTACAACAAACTTCTGATGATCATTTTACAAATACTGTTTTGTGTCATACTTCTTCAACGCACAGAGAAGTAAAAAATTACTAATATACTTTAAAAATAGACCTCACACTCAATGACCCTTCCTTATCAAAGGTACTTGGTAAGTTACAAAATTATAGGGCAAGCTAATTATTTGTTTATATGTGTTTTAATATTTTAGAAGACAGATGTTCACAAAAGAATAAGCAACCATAACAGCAGATGGTAGCCAACATGAATAGAGTCACTCTTGATCACCTGTGGATAACAGAGTTGCACAAAAGGCACAAAGAACAGGAAATGGGAGAAATGGTCCTTCCTGGAATGACAGTTGTATAACATTGTCTTTCCACTTAATACAAAAGGCAGCAACCTGAATTAGAACCACAGGTCTCTGAAAGCAAACACCAGCAAAAAGCTTCCAGGCAAAATAACATATGGTTGCAAAGCAGGTGAGATTAAACTTTCCAAAAATACCTATAGCAAAAATAGGTTTTTTGTGATAAGAAATACACAGTAATTGTGTATTTCATAGTATGTCATGTAACAATCATAGTATTGATTGTTACACTTAAAAGGAAAATGTAATAAAGAGAAAGGGGAAGGGAAGAACTTAGAAACTAATTCCATCCTACTAGGGAAGATGGACGAAAAAAATTCAGGGGCATCTGAACTACCCAGAATGCCCATTTCAAATGGTGAACAAGAAAATGGTGAACAACTGTCATACAAAGTAGTCTAGTTAAACTTGCAAATAGCCCATTAAAAACTAGAATGATCAATTATGATACTTGATACTAAAATTGCATTATTCTAGGAAGCTGATACTTTCAATTGCTAACAGCTAATTACTCCAGCCTAACTTCACTCCAGCAGTAATAATCCAGATGAGAAAATCAAAAAACCATCTGAACTTGTTGGAAGGTTCGGCAGAGGCACTGCTAAATGGAAGCAAATGAAAGGCTTACAAACTTTAAAAAAACCCAAACAAACAAACAAAAAAAACCAAAAAAACCTACAAAACACCTGGAAAAACAGAGCAGATACATGGTCACTAGAGATGACTCCATAATATAGTGGCACAAGCTAGAAATACCCTTTTCAGAATGCACTGAGTCGTGTCCTTCCTTTCCAAGCACCGACCAAATTTCACTGCCCTCCTGCTGGATCAGCCAGCGACAGACTGTTCCACATGGCACTGCCACGTCTGACATGGATGTGAAGGGCACATGCAGAGTGCAACAGTCAAGACAGCCCCACAGCTTGTCATGCAAACGTGTGCCAAACATAACATAACATACACAAAACACCTCTGATCTCAGAGCTGTTTCTTTTCATGCATTTCCAAAATCTTAAAAACCAGAAATTAATGAAAGAGAGGGCAGGATGAGAGAAGATCAAGAGAGCTGATCTCCAACCAAACCAATCAGTTACAGCTCTGTATTTGACATCTGTCAAGCCCCAGAAAATTCTCTTAAGCAGGGAACTACTTCAAAGTAGTTCCAAATAATTTGAACACATTAACTGGTTAATGCCTTAAAAACCATACTACTTTTCACTGTGCAAATTCAGAGTTGCACAAACTTATTCAAACACAAATGCTGACACAAGTAGTAGGCAGTAATCCTCAAGACAGTGCCCATTTCCATCTTATCTTTTCTGGTTTTCAGACAGTACATGAGCGCATTCCCTGAAATAAAAACCGACTAAAGCAACTCAACAGAAATGTATGCAAACCTATTTTCCTAGAAAACTAAGGATGGTCAGATGAACCTACCAATTTATGCTAAGTCTGTCTGAAGATATTTCTCCCAGCAGCTCCTTCTGCCAGAACCATCCACCAAACAGCAGCCAAGAGAGACAGCTATTTCCATTCACAGTCACTCCAGCACATGAGCCTGGCACATGCACCCGACCGTGATTTAAGGTAATCTTGATCTGTAAACAGGGATCTCTGAAGCACAGAGACCAGCTTGTTTATGTACGTACTCACTGTATTCCTCAAAAGGTGTAGAAGAACCTCTGCACCACAGGCTTTCCCTACATTCCACTGGCCAATATCCAGATGATACACATTTAAACAACAGCTTTTTATACCAGCAAAACAGAGCCACGTTTGGCCTCTCCTCACCTTCAGCTAAGCATTTGCTTCATCTGCACATAAAAGCTAATTCAATTCCTTTCAGCATGCAGGTGTTAGAATTATAACCTATAATGCTCCCTACTTAGCATTTAAAGAAATTTAAAAAGAAATTAAAAAAAAAAAAAAAAGGAGCCGTTTGGATAAACCTTGCCTTTCATAATTGTAAGCAGTTTATAACTAATTCCCTTTAAACTGCTTTCATGGCAGCTTCTCCCAAATCCAAGGTTTAGAAATTTTTCACACAATGTAAGACACTAAGACCTTACCAAGAAGTCAGTTTTGAACATCAGCATCAACAATAACTTTACTCTTTAAATATCAAGTAATAGGTATCCATTATTTTTGGTAATTACAAACTTTTTTTCCCCCACACATAACACATAGCTAAGACATCTTAAACCTTTTTAAGGCAAGAACCAGTTCTTCTGTAGATGAAAGTAAGGTTTAAACAAGCTAACAGAAACATTTGCTACTACTAAAACAATCCAAAGAGAGCTTGCAGACCTCACTGTGTGTCACAAGAAAACCGCCACATTTTGTGATGAGCTTTGATGTGGAAATTAAGTCAATTATTAATGTCCCTTGATATAACAATTGGTGCCATTCCAGGAATCTTCTTTTAAGTATGAAAACTATAGAAATAATGAGCATAATGGAAGACCTTTACCAACTACAAGTTACAGCAGGAATTAATTCTGATGAGCTGAAATTACAAGTAAAGATAGAAAACTCCTTCCTTCAACTTAAAAAAGAGGGGAAACACCAAAAAAATCAAAGTCCCCTTCTGTCCCCCAAATACTAATTCCTTAAGAAAAACTACAAGATTGAAAGAGAAGCATTAACTTACTATTGGTAAAGAAGCTAAGAGAGCATCTTGATATTCCCCTTAACTTCTCTTTAGTCCACTGGTAAATTATTTGTATTATAGCAGTGACCGAATACCTAAAACAATTAAACAGAGACCAAAACTTGTTTTATAAGTCCCTGCCCACAAATCTACATTACCATGTTTACAAAAAGGATCCCAAACACTTATACAAGGATAGAATTTTCCATTTTTTACTTTACAGAATTATTTGTGTATGGATGTGATTATCACATATGGATGTGATAACATAATATACCTAACCATGCCTGAGCTAGAGCACAGGACTAATGGTCTGTAGCAGTCCCCTCCAACTTCACCGATTCTGTGCAGATGTTGAACAGCATTAAAGAGGAGCAGAATTATCTGGGATTTTATTTCCACTCAAAATACACAAGGAAGGGGCATGTGCAACTGACCTTCAGGGGATGGACCATGCCTGTCAGATGATATTGGTACATGGGAAGCATCCAAACAAAATCTGTCCCAAAATAGGGCTGTTTTTAGCTCAGTGCAGCAGTCGGTATATGAATACCACCTACCATGTCCAAGAACTATTTTCTTAAGGCTGAAATGAGGAACAGACTCTCCTCCCAATGCTGACAATGGCAAACCGCCTCAGCCCTTCAACCTGACCTCTGTAAAAATGAGCATTAAACTGAGTAAAGGACCTAACACACAACTGAGCCAAAATCCTAAGATGAATTATACAACACCATTTATTAAAGTACGAGTTTCACCTACACGTCTCGAGTGTTAAAAAGGCCAATGAGTAGAATAGCTCAATAACCAGCTTTGAGAGGGTCGATGTTTAAAGCTCTTTCAGGAAACCAGAGGCCCAGAAGATGGGCATTGATTCAAGCTGTGCCACAAAAGGCGGCAGGGACTTGTGGCTGCACATCCCCCCTGTTCTGCATTCTGACCCCGCAGAGCTCCCCACGCTCCGGGGCAGCCGCTCCCTTCACAAGGAAAGGCAGCGACGGCTCCTCGCTCCCGGAGCCTCCCGAGCGCGGGCCGGGCAGCGCTGCGGGGCCGGGGAGCGCTGCGGGGCCAGGGAGAGCTGCGGGGCCAGGGAGAGCTGCGGGGCCAGGGAGAGCTGCGGGGCCGGGCAGAGCTGCGGGGCCGGGCAGAGCTGCGGGGCCGGGGAGCGCTGCGGGGCCGGGCAGCGCTGCGGGGCCGGGCAGCGCTGCGGGATCGGGGAGCGCTGCGGGATCGGGGAGCGCTGCCGGGATCGGGCGAGCGCTGGGGATGGCGCCAGGAGCGCTGCGGGGCCGGGAGCGCTGGGCCAGGAGCGCTGCGGGGCCAGGCAGGCTGCGGGGCCGGGCAGAGCTGCGGGGCCGGGCAGAGCTGCGGGGCCGGGGAGCGCTGCGGGGCCGGGGAGCGCTGCGGGGCCGGGACCCCGCTCGGCCGGCACAGCCGGCTCTGCCCCCGCCGGGCCCGGCCCGGGCAGGGCACGGAGCCGGGGAGGGGGCGAAGGCAAGGAGGGCACGCTTGGGGACGAGGGACGGGCGGTGTCCCCGCCGACAACCCGAGCGCCGCCCCTCCCGCCGCGTTACCTGCCCGCAGCCTGCGCCCGCCACGGCGCCCGCCGATGACATCATCGCCCCGCAACGCCCCGGACCGCCCCGCACCGCCCTGCTCCGCCCCGCTCCGCGCCGCTCTGACCCCACCCCGCCACTCTCCGGCCCGCACCGCCCCGCTCCGGCCCCGTCCACTTCCGGCCCCGCACCGCCCCCGCACCGCCCCTCTCCGCCCCACACCGTCCCGCCCCGCTCCGCTCCTCTCCGGCCCCGTCCCGCACCGCCCCCGCACCGCCCCCGCCCCGCCCCGCGGCAGCCGCGGTCCGGACGCCCCCGCTCCTTGCGGGGCTCTCGGCAGGCACAGCGCGGTTCCTGTCAGCGGGCCGGGCCTGGCCAGGCCGGCTCGGGCTGAGCCGGCGGAGCAGGAGCTGTGAGGACCGGGCCAGCAGCGGGCCCGGGCGGGGTTTGGGGCGCTTCGGGAGCAGGTCAGCAGGTCAGCGGGTCAGCAGGTCAGCGGGTCATCGGCAGGTCAGCAGGTCAGCTGGTCAGCGGGTCAGCGGCAGTCGGGGGAGGTGATCCTGCCCTTCTCCTTGGCCCTAGCGAGGCCATGTCTGGAGCGCTGTGTCCAGTTCTGGGCTCCTCAGCACAAGAAAGACAAGGAGCTACTGGAGAGGGTCCAAGGGAGGGCCACAAAGATTATCTGGAGTCTGGAGCATCTCTGGTGAGGAGAGACTGCAGGAGCTGGGCCTGTTTAGTCTGGAGAAGAGAAGCCTGAGAGGGAACCTCAGCAAGATGTACAAATACCTCAAAGGCAGTGCCAAGAGGATGGTGACAAACTCTTTTCAGTGGTGTCCAGTGACAGGACAAGGAGTAATGGACATAAACTAAAACACAAGAACTTCCGCCTCAGTATGAGGAAGAACCTCTTTCCACTGAGGATGGCAGAGCACTGGAAGAGGCTGCCCAGGGAGATCGTGGATTCTCCCTCTCTGGAGACATTCAAAACCCACCTGGACACATTCCTGTGTAACCTGCTCTACATGACCCTGCCTTGGCAAGGGGCTGGGTGATCTCCAGAGGTCCCTTCCAACCCAAACTATTCTGCGATCCTGTGAATTTCCCTCTCCCATTATGTGGGAGATGAGGGGCAGGGTGGGAAATGTCCTGCTGCAGTCACAGAGGGTGTGCAGTGTCCACCTGCTTGTGTCAGTGCTGGTGGGCCCGTGGAGATCACAGCACCGAGAAACACACTTTTTGTTTGCACACTGAGGAGGGGCCCTGCCACTGATCTGCAAGGCAGACAAAATCTCAGTGATCTCTGCTTAGGGTATAAATAGAAGCATTTATTTCTACATGAGAGGTGTGAATTAAATACTTCATTCTGTTGTTTAGGTTGGCAGCAAACGGTTAAGCTCTTGGAGCAGTTCATCACTGATTAGTGTCCCAGGGTGCTGGGTGCAGCCTCCCAGGCAAGCCAAGGATGCGCCTCACTGGGAAGTTGTTCTGTCGCTTCTGCTAGGAAAAGGAACAGCCATGAGGCATCTCCAGTGGTTGCCAGCACTGAAGCAGCCCTGTAGCTCTCTAGGAATGGTAGGCAGGCTACTGGCTGTTAAAATCGGGACCATGAAAGGTTTTGAAACCTTAATTAGCTTCACAGTGTTTAGTTTCATGAGTCTTGCTACTTGTTACGGTCTCGGTCTGCAGGTGCCCAGGCTCCTTGATGAGGCTATCGTAAGGAGTGGGGGAGGACTGAATGGAAGTGCTTCCACGGCTTGTCTGCTATCAGAAGGATAATTAAATGTTCATGAGAATAGGAATTCAAACCTGGCTTTCCAAACAAGCACCTTAACCACATCTTGGCAAATTCACTTTCTCCTTCACCTAAACCCCACAAACATTTAATTGTTCATACAAAGTGGAAAAACACTGAGTGGAAAAATTGGGAGAGTCTCTCCCAGCACTTTCATTAGCATTTTTGAGAGCATTTTCAATGATAGGGGGAAATTTGTATTCAGATCCTTGCTAACTGGGGAAATTGTGACCGAATTTCCCTTCCTCCAAGGGTTTGCTGTTATCCTTGGACCATAGGGACCTCCTGTCCCCACTGGACAAGGAGTGCTAGGCAGGGAATTTGGGAATGTACTGTGAGAATCATCCTGAGGAGAAGGATTTGGTTTAGTTTTGTGAATGCCTATTAGCAGAAAATATAGGGTCACAAACAGTGGACTTGGGAGCTGTATGACATTTGGATACTTATTTGTCCCTGTGAAATGCAAACTTATGCAGAGCAGGTCTGATTGAGATGGTTAAAGTATCAAAACCAGCTAGAAATCTCATCTTTCCAAAAGAATTGGAACAGACTGGTAGGAAGACAGTAGAAAATCTCTCTGACACAGCGACATCCAGTAGAGGGTCCTCTGTTTGAGGATTACATCCACCCCACCCATACTCCGGAAGGACTTTCTGATTAGGTCTATCTGCAGTAATCAAGGAAAGGTTGAGTCTGAAATCAATACTCCACTTTGGTTAGGCTTAACTATGTGTCCTGAATCCAGATAAAACCATTGTTTGTGAAAGTTCTCTTTGAGAAGATCTGAGGTGATTGACAGATAGATAGATAGATAGATAGACAGGCAGATAGATACAATGAAAATATACATTACTTTGTGAATACTAGAAAAGGGATATACTTTTTTCTGATCAGGAAAGCTGGAGGCTTAAGCAAAAGCTGCACTACAGGAGCCTTAGTGTTTTTTCTTTTGTTTTTTGCACACAATATGGTTCAAGTTTCCTAACTGATGCAAAAGTGCTGTACAGAGCTTTCTAATTTAACTGCACTTTGTTAAAGATCTGTGGGTTGTCAGCATCTTGCTGCTCTTGCTTTTACTTGTATACATGACAGCCATTTCCAGTGACAGAGTGAATGCATTGTTCTAGCCTGAAGAAAATAAACCAGAATCTCATCAAGGGCAGAAATCAACCTCTCTCTTTCTCCATATTTTCCTGAAATGTATTTATTTCTTGATAGAAAAGCTATTCTCTGAAAAATAATGTTTCCTGTGGCTGTCCAAATGCATAGCACATTATCATAATTCTTCCCATTTACAATAAATCACTGAATTGTTCTTGTCAAGTGAATATACACCTGATATACACCAATATTGGAGGCTTACTTTATTTGACATTAAACATGAGCCAAGTAGCTACCTGCTTGTGATTCAATAATGAAATTTATTTGCCATTAAAATGAAAAGCTTAGTGTAAAAATATAACTGTGACTTTCACCAAACAAAATATTACAAAAAAGAGGTATTTTTGTAACAGCTTATTCAGGCAATATTTCAGAAGTGTTAATATTGAACACCTTTAAAAAGCAGACTTAAGAAAAGTTCTAAAAGTAAAAAATCCTGAAAGTAATTGCTGAATACTTTCAAAAAGATTTGTTATAAGCACCACATCAATTGTGTTTTGGTGCCAAACTGGACACCAATGACAATTATTTGGAGCAGTTGCTCTATTTAAGGAGTACTTGAAACACTGAGAAGAGGACAAAACTCAGTCTAACAAGTGGAGCCTAGACTGCTCTCAATTAACAAACTATATTTACAGATTATCTTTTAATTGATCACAAGATGCCAATGACAAAAAAAATAAAAGACATGAAGATTGCATTCTGGAGTAAATAGTATTGCCATTAACTAGCACAGTTGATATACTAATTACTGTGCCAATTATCTAGCAATTAGTATGATGTCATAACTAGTATTTTTTCTGTCCTGTGAGGTCTAAGCAGATTAGAGCTTGTGCACAGATTCTCTTTCTCAATTCCACTGCGAGGTTGGGCTGTTCAAGAACAGTATGAGCTCATGTTAAAAACTGACCTCCCCTTTAGATCCACAAAAAGAAACACTACATGTGAGTATGGCTCTTTGCTGGCATCTGGTCCAACCTCCCTGCTCCAGCAGGGCCATCCCACAGCACATGGCACAGGATTGTGTCCAGAGGGTTCTGGAACATCCCCAGCAAGGGGATATCCCCACACCCTCTCTGGGCAATCTGTTCAGTGTGTGGTCACCCACACAGAAAAGACATTCTTCCTCGTGTTCAGTTAGAACTTCCTGTGCATCTTTCTGCCTGTTGCCTCTTGTCCTAATTCTTGGCACTTGAGAAGAGCCTGGCTCCATCCTCTCGGCACCCACCCTTCAGATATTAATACATAGTGATGAGGTTCCCCTCTCAGTCACCTCTTCTTGAGGCTGAACAAGCCCAGTTCACTCAGCCTTTTTTCATGAGATTCTTCAGACCAGCTTTGCAGCCCTCTGCTGGACCTGCTTCAGGAGCTCAGTGTCTTTCCAATCCAGAGCAGCCAGCACTGGACACAGCACTGCAGGTGAGGCCTCGCCAGGGCTGCGTGGAAGGGCAGGGTCACCTCCTGTGACCTGCTGGCAGTGCTGTTCCTAACGCACCCCAGGACACCACTGGCCTTCCTGGCCACCAAGGCACACTGCTGGCTCATGGACAGCTTGATGTCCAGCAGGACCCCCAGGTCCTTCTCTGCAGAGCTGCTGTCCAGCAGGTCAGCCCCCAGCCTGTGCTGCTGCCTGGGCTTCTTGCTTCCCACGTGCAGGACCCTGCATTTGCTTTGCTGAATTTCAGAAGGTTCTTCTCTGACCATGTCTCCAACTTACATTGTCAAGTCTGCTACTCAGCACTAAAACTGGTGCTTTTTCCTGCACAGTTCAGTGGTCGGGTGGCCCTTCTGCAGCAAAGCTTTATTCTCTTCCCAGCAAGCCCTTTCTGCTTTCTTTGTTTCTGCTGCTGAAGGCTGGGGTCACTCTCCCACTTTGTCAGTATACAAAGGGAGACTTATCTGCAAGTGGTTCCTGAAATAATTTAAATCCATGTGTTAAGTATACCACATGTTGAAGGCTGTAAAGCAATTGGCTGTGGAGAGATATCCTTGAAGTTCCAGGAGAAGTAGAGAAAAAAAAATTATACCCTGCCTGACTGCACATTTTAAAGTAGTACACAGGAATGTTAAAGACATCAAAGAGGTTAAACATAAACCTCAGATTCTGTGTTTTATCTCAGCTGAACACATATAGCATTTCCCCTCTTGGGTCTCCAAAGATATCTCTCATACGAAGTTACCTTTTTAGAAGAAAATATAGAGAAAATAATGGACTCCTGATCTTAGGATCAAATAATTTCCAGCTCACAACTTCCAAGAATTAGTTATTGATATAACTGCTAAATATTGATGGGTTTCTGTGGCTTTACTATTGCAGCAAGAGTGTTGTGATCTAATTTAACTTGTGTTTTCCTAACAGGATCATTTCTTTTAACCAGTCTAGCACTTCAGGTGCAGTGATTCTTACCCTCCAGTGAAGAAAAATCCTCTCCTCCACAGGAACAACAGTGGTTGTCTTAATTCAGCCTAGTGCTTTGGTACCAGTTTGGCTTGATCAAATCTCAGTACAGTCATTTAAATATTGGATAAAGAGACTGAAAAGTCTTGCTTTCAGAAAACCTTTCTCAACCAACACACAAAAATCACTTGTTGCCCTGGAGACTGTGAGTTTCATTATGCTCGGTGCAGAGACCTGCTCACTGGGAACCATTACAGCTGGTACACCAAAGGGAATCTGAGTGGAGTGAATCATCTTAAAAACTTCTATTCGCTCTCTGATCTCCACATGGCATGTAAACAAAGAATGTAAGTAAACATATGCATAATTTAATACTTTGCTGCAGGCCTACAACTTAATAACATGAAATGGTTTGCCACTAGCAAACTGAAAGAAAAGGCTTAGGAACACAAGAAATGCTACAGGGTAGAACTAAATATAAACAAATGAGGGTTTAGAGAATATTTTGTAATCTGACAGATGGTCTGAAAAGCTTCTGACACATCACTGGAGGAGAATGGTGGCAGGGAATGGTCTGTGATGCTGTAACTCCTCCAGTCCCACGTAAGTCAGAAAGAAATACAATTGCATTCCTGAAGTATATGGGTTCAGTGACAAAATAAGTTTCACTCATTACCTGGAGATGTCTTGACCATGCAGTATTTTCTAAACAAGAAAATGTAGAAAACTGGCAAAGTTCAGTTTTGGGAGGCAGCTGTCAGCCTCTGGGGCCACCTGAGTGCAGAGGGTATCCCAGATATGTCTGCTGCCCCTGAGCTCTGCTGGCAGCCTTCACCCTGCTGCCAGCTGTGCCCTGCACATCACCAGCTGCCTTAAGGATGTCTGGCACGTCCATGAGAAGCCACAGGAACACACTGAAATCTTCTGCTGCAGTCTGGGCACCTCTTCCAGACAATACCAAAAATACATATAATAAAGGGCTAACATGTGCAGTTGCGTGACCTTCAGCTCCCTAAATAATTTGATTCAGAACCCACAAGAAACATCATGCTGAGGTGGTGAGGACATAAGATGAATAGCCTGAGAGAAAGATTTGTGTAAAACCGTCTCTCTTAGGCCAGTAAGCACTATCTCAGTGCATAGGTAACACACACGCCTGTCTGAGAAGGCACCAACTGAAACGGAGTGTAAAGTAACTTAGCACCTAAGCGTGACAAAATCATCTCCCCCTTTCTTAACTGCCCTTCGGAAATTGAATCTGGGAACCAGGATCTCAGACCTGGGCTGAAGGAATCATAACAGATAATTTAATTTCAAAGTCGAGGGGATTGCGTTCGGAATTATTTATTTTTTAAAACAGCACAATTCTTTGTCTCAGCTTTCTTCGACATGTTCGTATTTCCCTCCCTCGGAAATGGGCGTTGCCCGTGGGCGTGGCCGGCGGAGTGATTGACAGTGCAGGGGGCGTGGCCGGTGGGAGGGGCGTGGCCGCAGTGTGAGCGGGGCCCGAAAGGGGCGGGTGGTGTGACGGAGGGGGCGGGGCTGGCGGGAGGGGGCGGAGCCGGCGGTGTGATTGACAGCGTAGGGGGCAGAGCCGGCTCGCCCGCCTGCCGCCAGCGGGGCGTGACGTCACACAGCCCCTCCGTGCGGTGACGTCACTCCCGCTCCGTCAGCCCCCCGGTGACGTGGATGTGACGTCACAGAGCCAGAAACTGTTACCTCCTTGCCCAGAGGGTTATGGGGAATGAGATGGGGGTGAGGGGCCAGATCCTGTCTGATCGCTGCAAAACGTGGACTGTGCCAAAGTTTCCCTAAGAAAGGATGTTCTGTGGTTGATCTTTGTAACTTTCAAGCCCAAGGAGCAAGAGAGGACACGAAACTTGTTCGCCCTGTTAAGGTTTAGGGCTGGATGTGTCTCAGTGATCTCAGCACTGGGGGAGGGTATCAGACCCTGGGAGGAAGGATTTCCACTGGCAGCAGGCACACGGAATGCAGAATTTATGGCCCCCAAGGATATCTGGCAAAACTCTCAAGATGAGGAAGGATTAGTAAAGTCAGCTCAGGACCTGGGCTGAATCAGCTCCCACTGGATACAGGACAATTCCAGCAGGGATAGATCGTGACCACCGACCCCAGAAACCCCCCAGCCGAAAGGAAGGGAAAGACTGGGCACAGGGTCAATTAGCATGGGAAGTGAGAGAGTCATTAACCAGTGGAATATAAAATATAAAGAGAGAGTGATCAGACACTGGAATGGGCTGCCCAGAGAGGTGGTGGAGTCCCCACCCCTGGAGGTGTTTAAGAAGAGGTCGGATGTGGACTCAGTGCCATGGTGTGTTGACAAGGTGGTGTTGGGTCAGAGGTTGGACTCAGGGATCTCAGAGGTCTTTTCCAGTCTAACTGATCCTGTCCTTCTGTAATTAACAACAGAATTACGTATCTTGCAGCCAATAGACATTAACACCTTTGTTTGCTGAAGGGTATAAAACAGTGACAGCTTTAGACAGTCGGTGTGCTGGGTTTGTGGAAACGTCCACTGTCCACCCGCTGCAGAATAAACAACACCTCCTCTCTAAACCTGACTGTGTGTTTCGAGAGCTCTCAAAAATGTCCCTCTTGCTCTGTCAGCCCTGCTGCTTCTCGTGACACCCCAACCCCCCCACACACAGTGACACCACATCCATCCCTCCCCAGTGACACCACATCCCCCCCACACGGTGACACCACATCCCCCCCACACGGTGACACCACATCCCCCCCACCGTGACACCTCTCTCGCACTGCCACCAGGCAATGTGGGGCCAGGGAAGGGCAGGGGAGGGCTCAGGCAGCCCACAAACGCAACAACCAGTTTTAAATCACCCTTACGTTGGCCAACCCTGCCCCTCTCAGCACAGCGATGGTCTCTGGGCCCTCCCAGCCATCGCACCCTCCCACTGACACAACCATAGGGCGGCTTGTGGCACTTCCACAAAGGGTTTCTCTTTCACAAACCCACCTGGTCCCGCACGTGGCTACAGAGGGGCCCCCCTGCCCGCCCTGCACCACCCGAGGGCCAGGACAGCGACTTGTGCAGGGGTCTGGCAGGATCTCCATGAGTGTCCGTGCTGGGGACCGAGGGGACGCTGCTCCGGGCAGGGGGGCTGTGGCCACAGCTGTGAGCGGGGCACGATGGTCCCGTCCCTTCTCCCCGTCCCAAAACACCCTCCTTCGCCTCCAGGGCACGGGCCAGCATGTAGCTGACCTTCCTCTGGTGGGCCAGGGCCTCCTCCTTGTCGTTCACCTGGGGTGTTTCACAGAGAAAGGAGAGAAGGACGCTCGTCAGCTGTTTGTAAAAAACAAGGCGCTGTTTGTAGACTGTGCATGTGCTCCCCCAAGGGGTTGTGGTGAACAAAATACTGACCAGATCTATCAGCATCTGCAGGATCTCCTGGGGGTTGTCCAGCTCCTCGACCCTCCTGCAGTCCCCACCCGAGGAGAGCAGGCTGGACAGCTTTTGACCCAGGTTGTTCTTGTCGGCTTGTAACTTGAGACGCTCTGAAGAAAACAGAAGTACATGAACTGTGGAATTCATGGCAATTAGTTTTTAAACAGTAAGTAGCCTGAAAAAAACAAAGATTCTCTGACACAGGCCATTTGTAAGATTTCTAAAAACATTAAAATACATTAAAATTATGGGGCATATGCACCGGGTTACAGAAACTGAAAGCAATATTTTTGCTATAAGGGAAGTCAGGGTGTTTGCTCTTGTAGTACCACATCCCAAGAGTGCTCAAAGATTCTGGGAAACCCATCAAACTTCTAATCCTGGCAGCTGCAGGTCAATTACCAACACAGATACATCCTGATGTCCCATTCCTAAATTCTGCAGTGCTTTTGACCAGGACATAAGAACTTATATACGTCTCTTTATCCCTTTTCTTTAAAGAATAGAAGGATTATTAGAATTCATCCTATTTTACAGATTCAAATTCTTCCTCTTTTACAGAGGGTTCTGTAACTCTGTAACATACTACGTGTAAGAATAATAATCAAAAGCTAAATAAAAAGCTAAATTGCTTTTTAAAAACCCAAAAAACAATAACAAAACAAACCACCACCAGCAAAAAAACCCTAACAAAAAAAAACCAACCAGAAACCTTAAAGTTCATCCACTCCCATTTCCTTCTGCCTGGCTTTTCTCTGCTGTTGTTATAACAAGCATCTTTAACAGCCAGATATTATTGCCATCCTGTGTAGCAGCTTATTTATTCCACCATGTTTTCAGTTAAATAGTGGAGTTCATACACATATAATTTTAAAAAGGGTGCAGTAAAGGCCTGGACTGGGAGCTCCAGTGTCCCACAGGACCTGCACACTCTGAATTTTACACACGAAACTCACAGCAGAAATTCCTCAGTGACAAAACACACCATCTAATATCGTAGTGAGTATTCACAGCTTTGTTTTTTCTTGACTCTTCAAAAACCCCCCTAACAGCTGAGCTGCAGCCACGCATCTCACAGGGTAAGAAGGTGCTCAAGCCCCGTGCTCCCTCCTTTTCCAGCCAACCCTCCCAGACCCTCGCTGGCCCAGGTACCAGTGCCCCTCAGACGCCTCCAGTTTGCAAATTTAGTTTCCTTCTTCATCTTTATCCCTTCTGCAAGTCTCAGGGCCTGGTCCTTCCTCTGCATCAGCTGCTGCTCAAAGGCAATTCTGAAGGCATCTGCCACGAGGAACGCTTCATCCTTACTCTTCTTCAGATTTTCAGTCTGGTTTTAATCCAGGGAAAATTTAAAGTACTTTAAGTAACTTGAAGGCAAAAGCAGATTTTAAATAGCATATATCAAGACACAGACAACTTGTAAATAAATATAATCAAGGAAGTAGTAGGAACCAAATGAAGGGTTCTCCTGACATATTCTGACATGTGTATTAAGTCTTTTCTCTACATATGAACAAACCACCAGCCATCTACACAGACAATCACCTCTTAGTATTTATCTCTGTTCATCTCTGCACATGCAAAAGAGATTGAGGGGGGCAATAATGTCCTGTGCCTGCTAGGCCAGGAGCAAAAGGAGCAAAGACCATGAAACCTATGTCAAGGATAATAATTTTGGTACAAAAGAGACAGGACAGTCCTTATTTTCAAAACCATTAAGTCAACTGGAACTTCTTCAGCAGGACCAAAAGAACAGGCTTCCACATTTCCAGACTCAAAGACAAAACAAAAATTCTACATTCACAGATTTTCATTAAATTTAAAAAAAAAATTAAGAGCTTGAAAGTCACAATATTGATTTAAGCCTGAGGTAAATATATATTTTCCAGCAAGATAAGCCTCCTGACACAGCTGTGGGTGCTGATGCCAACCCAAGGGAGGGGTGGAATGCGCTGCCAGGAAGGAAGGAGAAGGTCAGTGGCAGTCCACATACACAGTGTGTACATTTCTGGAGTGCACACACTTAGGAAGTGTTTTCCTTTTATAAAAAATATGGGAGGAAGGAAAAAAAGTGCAAAAGATTTTTTTTGTTGTTGTTTTTTTCTTACTAGTAAAGCCAAATAGACATAATTACAATTTTTCTACCAGCAGAAGTTAGGGCATTACAAGCACCACAAGCAAACTTTACACTATTTGTGACATCCCTTCTGGCTTTAAAACACCCGAGTTTGTGTCCGTGGTGGACGAGCATTCCTGAGCTTGTTGGGTTTTGAGCACCCCAACCCATTCCCCGCCCCGCTAGGCACTGTTACCTCTTCCTTGAGATGAAGGAGCTGCTTCCTGGTGAGAGCTGCCACCTTGGCACAGGGGCACGGCTGCCCCTCGGACGTGCTGCAGGTGCAGGCCCCGAGAACTGCCAGCTGAAAACCCAAATGAGCCACCCGTTAAACAACCCACCCAAACCGCCACAGAAAACACCACCCAAAGCACCACAGAAAAAACACCACCCAAACCGCCACAGAAAATACCACCCAAACCGCCAAACCCACCACCCAAACCGCCAAACCCACCACCCAAACCACCACCAAATCCACCACCCAAACTGCCAAACCCACCACCCAAACTGCCAAACCCACCACCCAAACTGCCAAACCCACCACCCAAACCACCACCAAACCCACCACCCAAACCACCACCCAAACCCACCACCCAAACCGCCACCAAACCCACCACCCAAACCACCACCAAACCCACCACACAGACGTCCCACTGCACCACCAGAAAGGGTGAGAGTAAGGGGCAGCAAAGGGGCAGGGGATCTGGGGGATGGCTTCTGCCTCCCAGTGTTTCCCAGGCAAAACCTGACAGCCTGGCTGTGCTGCTCCCCGCAGCCTCACCAGAACACTTTTGTGCTAAGTAAAGCAAAAGGAACTGGGTTTAAGCGTCAGGAAGAAGAAAAACAAGCATCACGGTTTGTGAAAAATTGCTTGCTGCTCCTTCTGTCTCCTCCTTCTTCACAAGGCAGACCACAAAGTAGAAAACTGATGAGCAGGCATGTGGTTTAGCTAATTTAGTACTAATTAGCTAGAAATGGTTCCAAATAAAGAGATACATTACAACTAAGCAAATTTTCTCTACGTGTTTTGAATACAAACATACCTCTGAACCACCTAATTTGAAAAACACATAAGCCATCCTCACCTCAAGACCTGTCAAATCAGTGATGCCTCTTTTATTCAGCGACATGTTCTCCTGAACAACTTTCTGTTGTTTCACATTGAGCATTGCAAGGAATTCCAAGCACTGCTGATTCAGGACTACGAAATAAATCAAATAAAGAGATTAGAGAAATCTGCTGCTCTGATTTCTTAATTTCTGAGTTTAACTGCAGCCAAAGGAAGGTACTCTATAGTTCAAGCATCAGTCTGGGAACGTGATGAGACAATGTACAAAATCATATTCCAGCTGCTTTACCCTCTGTGTTTTCCCAGAAATACTGACCCACTTAGACACCATTTCATGTATTACTGGGCCTCAGGTCTGAGGCCTCATCTCAGTGCACACTCACAAGTCAGGCAGCTGCTCTGTTAGAACACTGGGGAAATAATTATATAAATCAGCTATTTCAAAGCTTTTTGGGAGGCAAAAAGAAGAGAAAGGGACTGGAGGCCTCTGACCCAGTGGCTGCTGTTACCTCCTGTCCAGTTTAAAGAGGGGTTCTGCATATCCACTGACAACAGGTGCCACTAAAAACACACTTCTCCCCACAAGAAGCTTCCTTCATAGCTAAATCATTAACTCCTGAGAAACAGTACATCAATAAGAGCTGTTGGTGGCTTACTTGCATTTTCAGCTTTGAGTGTTTTAATTTCTTCTGTCCTCAGTTTCAGTGCTTCCTTAAAAGCTGCATTCTCACAGTATATCCTGCAGAAGTTAGAAAAAAAGGCTTTATTACCTTGTAAAAAAACCCAAACTTTAAAATGGGCACTCAAATAATTTAAAAGACCAATCCCATTAAAACATCGTATCTAATATTTCTGCAAATTAAAATTAGGATTACTGAAAAGACGGAAGGAAAAAAATAAAAAGTGAAAGGAGTTGAGTGTTTGGTTTGACAAGTTTTTATCTACGGAAGACTGTACCAGTAGTTTCCTTGCTTGTAGTATTTTTCAAGGAAAAAATGGTAATATTTTCCTGCAAGAATATCTGCACCAACAATCTGTAGAGTGTGGTTAGAAGCAAATCTGGTAGCCAGGGGCCAAAAAGCACCCTGACAGTCCTCCTGGGCTGGGCTAACACATCAGGTCACACCAGAGTGTGCAACCCGCTCACCACTCGTTGTGCAGGTGAGGCAGCAAAACCAGGAGTCTCCACAGTCACACTGAGGCCTCTCAGACGCCACAGGCTGTTCAAACAGGCTCACCTTGTCCATGAAACCACACCCTCACACAGCCCATTTAATCCAGGTGCGTTCAAGTGAATGTTAAAATCATTTGTGCGTTAAGCAGACAGTGCCAACAGCTTCTGAGTTCAGGAAGAGATAGGTTTAGGTGCCTGTTCTCCTTGGAAACTCAAAGAAAGCAGTAATTATGAACCTCTGAAACACTTGCTAGAAGTCTCCTACCTCCTTGAAAGAGCCAAACTGACACTGGACATGTGACAGCTCAGCTCTAAAAACTTCCTGCAGTTTGTACCCTGTTCTCAAGAAAAGCTGTGCCTTCAGGGCTTGCAACCTGAGCAGACACAATACGCACTGATAACGCATTTTTCTGTGAAGTATTTTAGCATTTCCCGCTTGAACAGAGCAGTGGCATCTGAACACCTAAACATCAAAGCAGTACAATTTCTTTGGAGCATCTCCTCAGCTGTCAGTAAATGAATGGCCTTGTTCAAAACTAAATAGTCTGAATTATTTCACCTAAAAAAAAAGGGAAATACACATTGTTCTGATCTTGCTGTCTCAGGTATAAGAAAACCATTTTGGAAAGCAGGCTGAACCCTGGCTTTCAGTTTTCTGAAGCTAAGTCTCTATTTTTCAACAGTCAGTACCAGTTTTGTTGTTCCAAACTGTGCAGCTACACGTCCAGGCTCCTCAGTCAGGAAAGCCAAAGACTTTTTCAAGAGGCATCCCTTGACAAGTGTAAGTCAACAAAAGAAAAGTTTGCAAACTTTTGGCTTATTTCTGGATTGTAATTTGAAACATTTTAAATAAAAATATATGCTGAATAGTAATAACACCAGCAATGAGGATAAGAGAATAATGACAATAACAGTTCTGATGGTGAGACTTCAGAGAGATAATTTCTACTTTCACATAAGTGAGTCTGCTGGTCACATTTTTCAGAGTCTGTTACACATTATTAGTTTAGTGCCTCTGGCACATTCCTGCCCAACCACACCTGTCCACCCAGAGTGGCTTTTAATTAAACAAAGAACCAGTTGATCAGCCTCTCTCAAAATCCTTCCATTTTACCTGTACTTATGCTCCAATCCACAGTGCAAGAAAATAAAGCAATGATTAACCAGGAAATGATATTTCCACATGCAGGCACACCCCATTGTTTTCTATGCTCATTTACATTTAAGGTAAATAAGGATAATCTGCCTCCAGCTGGCTGATGTAATGGGATGAAAACGAAAGCTCAGCCCAGCAAAGCCAGTCTATAGACAAGCTGAATAATCAAGACATCGATTTTAGTAGTTTTAACTGAAAAGTACAAATGTGACTAGCACAAAAATAAAATCTTCCAAAATTTGGGAGAGAATTAGGAACCAAAAACCTGATGAAACAAGTTTGGAATACAAAAAAAAGATGACACACATCATTCAATGAAATTAAAAATGAAAACAAAAATACTCAAAGATAAACAGCAGAAGTAAAATACCTGTCATATTTTTCTGTCCACGTGTCTTCTATGTTTTTAAATCTATCCTGATCAAATTCAATTTCCCATTGCAAAATGTTTATTTCCTGTGGAAAGAAACAAACCTGCAGCAGCACATTACAGGCTTCCCAAAGAAAGGAAGAAGAGAGATCTAACCGACCAGTGAGGACAACGATCTGTGATGGTGTTAATAACAAAACTGGTGCCAGACACTGAAGTTTCTGCATCACTGACCTATGGATCCCAGGCTGCGTGACAGGAGGACTGTGTTAATGCTTCCAGTGGGTTGTAACAAAAACAAACCCGCACTGTCACAGTTCCCTGTCACCCTCCTGATCCGTGGAAAGGCCACGCAGGAGGAGGATCAAAGCACAAAAGCCAGTTTAACACAGTAGCTCAATGCCACCTTCCTCCTCCTCACCTTCCCTATGAAAACTCGGCACACATTTCCTGGACTTCTTGGGAATTTTCAGCTTAATCCCTGAGGAACTGGACAACTCACTGTGAACAACTGAAACCCACAACAAACACCAACTGAAAGTACAAGAACTCTGGTAATTTTTAGGTATTATTTGTACACTCTAAGGAATGAGAAGGTCCAGATCAAAACAGTGACACATTAATGTTTTCCCATTCTACTAAAAAGGAATAAGAACACTTTCCTAAAAGCTCTGGAATTAATGGCAGGTTTGCACTGATTTAAATGAACAGTCTGTTCATCTCTTATTAATAGCCATGGGCTTCCATATGTGAAGGACACACACCCTTACCTTCTCTAAAGTCCTCTTTTCTTCCTCAGTTTTTTGAAGCATTGCTTTTGTATGACTAGTGGCTTTATTAAATACTGCCTAAAAAAAAAAAAGAGAGAGAAAAACCCCCACAATTCTGTCAAATACTGTCATTAAGTTCACTTAATTTGGCTTTAGACTGATGTTCACTCTTACACACAGAGAAGTTCACATTGTTCATTAAACGTTACAGCTTGCTCGTAAGCCCCAGTGGGCTCTGATTTCAAGTCACTAAGTCGCACAACAAACTTGTGTTTCAATCCCAGAATCTCCCCTATTGAAAAATGCAGCACAATTTAACATGAGACCATGTTCTTCTTCAGGGCTTGTCCAGAAAATCACATCTTAGAACGCTGGGTTACAACACCATGAAGCCGTTGATGCAGGTGTAACTGGCTGCAAATGTCTGAGGGCAGAAACTGCTCAGCTATAAATGGGTTATGCAAGGAGGCAGAAAAACAGGAACTGATTTCACCAGAGTTCATTATGACAGCGAACAGCAGAACTATTGCAGACCGTGAGCAAAAGAATGACCTGACATCTAACCCACACTGCCCTCCAGGACAACAGATGGGGGAGTAACTGAAAACACCTGTGATCTGCAGAGGGATTTCAGGCACTGGCAAAATCTATCACATCAAGGACTCAGAAAAGGGCCTTATTTTTATGTTAAATAGATAAATCCTGAAGGATCTTCAGAGATAAAATTGTGAGCATTGCTACAACAGTGAAGTTTTCTCCAATAGCCACATTAGATCTATGGAGAAAAAGCAGTACATTGTAGAAGCCACATCTGCAGACACCCTCAGACTCACTGTTTTAAACTGCAGTGCTGGGAAGACCTCATGGTTTGTGAGGTTCTGATGAGGAGCAGCAGGAAGGTTTTCTCATTTCCCTCCCATTACCACTAAGTACCAAACGATTTCTGAAGAGCTCCTACCATGCTCTGCAGGATTCTTAGGGCTTCATCTTTCCCTTCAAGCTGCCTTTGACACGCTTCAAGCTCAACTCTCAAAATTTCAGCTTCCTGAAGCAAAAAAGAACAGGGACACTGAGTACAGGCCGAGGTAATCCTGCTAAGATTCAACTGCAGCAGCAACGTGAACTTGCCCTCTTCTGTTTTACCTCCTTGACTTCTTTCCAGGGGCTACCCTGAGGTTAGAGAGCACAGAGCAGATGAACTATGCACTTTCACAGCTGAGGTCAGCTGGCTGTGATGCCAACACACCGACACATTCAACCACAGTAACCCCAAAATGTAGGAGGTAACCACCTCTCAACAAAAACGCAGGCTAAAAAGCCAAAGATTGTTTACAGTGCAGATTTTCAGGCCCCAAAGCTTAATTAAAAAAATAAAACCTGATAAAGAAGTATATTACTTTCAGTGTTCTCTAGTTCTTTCAAAATACCTTCCCCAGCCCTCAGAAAAAAAACAACTACACCCAACAAACCCCCAGAGTACAAACAGCACCTCACACTGCGATTTCCTGCCATAAAATTTAATGAAGCTTCCAACTACCACTCTAATTTCAAGAGCCTGGATCTATGCCACGATCCCTGCTCTGGCCATGCCAAATCCTCTTGCTACATTAAGAGAAAATGCAGATTTGGAGAGCAGCACCCTTGGCACTGTTACCAACCTCTAGAGCTTCCTGAAGTCGTTGCTTTAGTTCTTCATTTGACATTTCAGTATTCGATTCTGTAGGATTAATAGGACATACTGAATGATGAGATACTACAATATCTAAAGGAAAAAAATGAGAATTTGCTTTAACCTGGAAACAAGTAAAATGCAGAGCTGAATTTTCATCTTTTTTGTTTGTTTTGGTTTTTCTTTTTCTTCTAGAGCCAATAAACAGATTTAAGAAATACATAAATACTAATTTCAAACACAGTGCTCACAGTTAAAGAAGTGAAATAGGGGAAAAAGGTCAGTGGTAAAGACAGAAAATAAGGACAAATATTTTATACTTTCCTTGGAAAAAAAATAGAAAAAATCCATCTTGATTTTAAAAATAATTTAAATTTTTAGATTACTTTAAGATTGTAACTTTTCAACAACCACAGTCAACACAACAGTGGCTGGCACTATTTAGAAGCAGGGGCAGTTTTAAGACGGCTCAGCTTATTGTGGCATGTAGATAGTGGGGAATTATTCTGAAGGAGAGAAATAAGCAAGTGATGCAGAAATACCTCAGTCAAACCACTAAAAATGTAAAGGAAAGCAGCTGAAGTGTAATGAACAGCACTGTCTACACCTGATGGTATTTACAGCAGCGTTGCCCTCACAAAGGAAAAGATGAATGCCAATACAGGTTCTGAAAAGAACTTTTTAACCCAAAAGGAAGCCAATTCATGAATTTCATCTAAATAGCAAATGAGATTTTTGAATATTTAGCCACAAGCTCTAGATATAATACATGTGAAGACTTAAAGTTACTTAAACAAAGCAGGAATCCAAGCAATTCCACTCAATTTCATGTATACATGTAGAGATACACCCACCACAGAACGCTCTTTGCTAAATGTCACTTTAAAAAGCAAAAACGAGCACTTTAAAACCGGGTGTTTTACTCTTAGAAGGGCCAGAGCCTTGATCAGTGAAAAGCAATTGCGCTGTAATGTCCTGGGAGGGAGGTGGAGGTTCCCAGCAGGCACAGGATACACGGCATTTACTGGAATCCTTCATGGATTTTGGCAAATGGTTCATTAAGCTTGATGACAATCTGTGAAGCAGCTGAACGGCTCAGCTTTTCTAACGCAGGTTTTTCCCGGGTGAATAATTAACTTCCCAATTACTCTTACCACAGCTGTTCTGCCGCGTGGAACTTGCAGCAGGTTTTCTGAGTGATCCATCGTAAAAGGTATTTCCTTTTAGACCAGGAAGAGCTGCAGCATCACTTTCTTCCGTTCCCTTTGCTGACAAAAGGGAATTACAAGCCTTTCGAGATCCTTTCCTGGATCTAACTGAATAGGGATTTTGTAAGTTTTCCTCTTCATAAACACCTCCAGGTCTTCTCCCGAGGCCGTTTCCCAAGTCTCCACATGTCATGTCATCTTCCTCTCCTTCCTCCATCTTCTCCTCCTGGTTTCGCGTTTTTGTTCCTTTTTTTTTTTCCCTTTCCTGATCGAGGGCTCTTCACCACGGCCAGTGCCAGCAGCGCCTCTCGAAAGCGACTGTTTTATCTGGAAGGAAAGGCAAAGCGTTCCTTTAAAGCAGCAGCCCAGCGCCGAAGCGCTAAACACCGAGCCGTCGGTGCGCGGCCGCTCCCCCGAAGGGCCGGGGCTGCCGAAACCATCGCTCCCACCCCTCGGGGGACCCGGGGCTGGGGCGGCACCGGGGGCAGCGCCCCATGAGCACCCCCAGCCCCCCGGCCCCGCTCCCCTCCCGCAGCACCCCCGCATCGCCCCCGCACCCACCTGCGCGCCGGGACGGGCGATGCCGGTCCCGCCCCGGGGCGGGATGGACGGAGCGGCACCGGGAGCGGCACCGGCAGGTGGGGATGCTTCTCCTCGCCTTTCAGTAGCGGTCCATGTTCCCCCTGCAGCTCCCGCCCCGCCGCAGCCCCGAGAGGTGGTCAGGAGCTCCCGCAAACCCGACCTGAGGTGACCTGCTGTGGTCACTCCAGGCGCGCTCAAGAATTGGGGTTTCCCTCTCCACCTGCTCCCTACTGCCGTCCGAGATCAAAGCACTCCGCCTGTGTTTCCTCAGTGCTTTTTCTCTGTCAGGTTCTGCCAGAAAACTCCAGATTTATCATCATTTTAGTTTATAATACCAAGTTGCTGATGCAGTATTGCTCTGTGAGTCCCACTCAAAAACCCTATACCCAGCCTGCAATAATCTTAAATATCTAACAGTAATACTATTTACAACAGAAATCTTAAATAAAGTGGTTTTACATCATTTTATATCATGTATATTAGGAGTTTATTAGCAAACACTTCCTTAAGAGCTTTTCCAAGCAGGCTTTTCAGTGCAGGAAGGCTTTACCTGCCCTGCCCTGCTGGGACCAGGCTGCACAAGCAATTAGAACAGATGGCTGCCAGAGTTTTAATTGCAGCCACGTCCTGGGTCTGCTCAGGGATGTATTTCCTGGGTAAACCTGCAGTGATGTGTGTGTTCCAGTGCTGGGATGGGTGATGGGGACTACAGAGACAAAAAAAGGAAGCTTATTGCTCCTTATTGTTCAGCATTCCACACCAGGGCTGATACAGCCCCTGTGTCCTTTCCCACAAAGGAATTCCCAGAGTTCTGTGAATCATTTTAAAATAACTCCCCACGTCACTTCCCCCCTGAACCACCCCCTGTTCAGCACCAGCCTCACCCCCAAGGACACAGTGGGCTACAGCAGCTTCCAGTCTCACAACTCACCTGTAGATTAACCCCTTTTCAGGGTAAAGCTGCACCTCCAGAAACCCAAAGTGCCACCAGTTATCAGGATGTTACAGTTCTCCTGGGGTGAGTTCACAGCTGGGTTTTAATTGTGAGGTCGTTCTCGATTATTGAACACAGCTCCTCTACTGAGAAATACCCTGCCATTTTTACCCTTCCAGTCACTGGTGTGGGTTCTCCTGTGTGTCTCCCAGGGAGCTTCAGAGGCTGTTCCAAACCCTCACAAATTTGGCTGTTCTAAACCTTCTTCTACTCCCCAACCATATCCAATTACAGTAAAAGTCATGGTAACTTATACAAAAATTACAAATGTCATTTATTGAACCCTCCCAGGAAGAGACCCAACAGTCACTGTTTCAGCCAGAGTCAGTTGTTGTCCTTCATCCATTGCTCAATCCATTGCATGATCTGATCCAGGTTTCTCTCCAGGTCCTCTGGAGTGTTGCTGGGTAACTGGTGCACAATTTCCTTTTTGTATGACGACACGGCTTCCTCATACAGAGTCTGAAAAATCTCACACTGAATGTTGTCCTGCAGCTTTTTCCCCGTGTAGCCCCTGGAAAACGAGAGCACCCAGGGAGGTGTGTGCAGGAGCGCTGGAGAAGCCGTGGTTTGCACCCTGGCACAGCCCCCTGTGCCCTGGTGTGCCCCACACACCTGCTCTGCAGCCTGTCGTACAGGAGGGCGTTCTCGGTGCGCAGCACGAGCACCACGTGGAACCAGCGCTCGGGGAAGAAGTCGCAGCCGTGGTAATCCAGCACCACCCCCCCCTCGCTCATCCTGTCCTCCAGCTCGTCGATCACCTGCGGGAACGGCACACAGCGGGTCCCCTGGGCTGCAGCAGGGCCAGGGGCACCCAGGGACCGCTTCAGGGCCGGGACTCACCCTGTCCTCGTCCAGGATGGGACAGTCGTACTCCTCGTCAAAGCCCTCGTACAGCTCCCCTGCGGCACAGACGGCAGGCAGGTTGGGCACAGCCCCCTGCCCTGGGGACAAAGGGCAGCTTGGGCACAGCCCCCTGCCCTGGGGACAAAGGGCAGCAGGCGACCCCTGCCCAGGGGACAAAGGGCAGGTTGGGCACAGCCCCCCTGCCCTGGGGACAAAGGGCAGGTTGGGCAGAGCCCCCCTGCCCTGGGGACAAAGGGCAGGGCAGGTTGGGCACAGCCCCCTGCCCAGGGGACAAAGGGCAGCTTGGGCACAGCCCCCTGCCCTGGGGACAAAGGGCAGCTTGGGCAGAGCCCCCTGCCCTGGGGACAAAGGGCAGGTTGGGCACAGCCCCCCTGCCCAGGGGACAAAGGGCAGCAGGCACAGCCCCTGCCCTGGGGACAAAGGGCAGGTTGGGCAGAGCCCCCCTGCCCTGGGGACAAAGGGCAGGTTGGGCAGAGCCCCCCTGCCCAGGGGACAAAGGACAGGTTGGGCAGAGCCCCCCTGCCCACAAAAGGCACAGCTCGGGGGAGGGAACTCTGGGGTTACACAGCTGTGCAAGGGTAAGGTTGTTGTTGTTTATCACTGAACACCGAGGGCCCTGCTGCAGAAACTCCTGTGAGAGAAAACTCACTGCCTTTTGATTTAATATAGGGAAGCCCAGAGTGGTTTGTGCTGGGAGGAGTCTCAAAGCTCATCCCATCCCACCCCCTGCCGTGGGCAGGGACACCTCCCACCAGCCCAGGCTGCTCCAAGCCCCGTCCAGCCTGGCCTGGGACACTCCCAGGGATCCAGGGGAGCCACAGCTTCTCTGGGCAGCCTGTGCCAGGGACCCCCCACCCTCCCAGGGGACAATTCCAACCCTGCCCTCTGGCAGTGGGAAGCTATTTTTCTTTATCCTTCATTCCATCTCTCCTCCAGCATTTCTGGAGCCCCTCTGGGCCCTGGAAGGGGCTCTGGGGTGTTCCCAGAGCCCTCCCTTCTCCAGGCAGCACAACCCCAGCTCTCCCACCACAGGCAGAGATGTGCACAGAGCAAAGAACCCTCCGTGCCCTGGTGACTCCTCTGTCTCCCAGCACCTTCCTTGGCCAGGTCCCCCACGTTGACGTAGCTCAGCCCCGCTCTGGATGCCAGCTCCTTTCCCAGGGTGGTTTTCCCAACGCCCGGAGTGCCTGGAGACCAAAACCAGAGGCAGGGTGAGGGAGGAGCTGCAGAACCCCCAACACCCTCCCGGGGGGAACTGGGGCCTTTGGCCAGGGGACGTCGGGGGGGTCATGTGAGGGAAAAGGGCCCAAAGAGAACCAGGGAGGGCAACGCTGGAGAGGGAAACGGGAAACCAGGGAGAGAACCCCCACCGTGAGCAGGACGGTCACCCACACTGGGGGGGTAAAGAGAACCCTGGGAGGGGAGGGGATGCGATGGGAGCGTCCCGAGTTCTCGGGCAGGTGTGACACCCCAAATCCTCCCACGTGGGGACACCGCACCCCAAATCACCCCGACTGGGACCCCAGACCCCAAACCGCCCCGGGATGGGCCCCCATCGATCCCGGCCGAGCCCCGCGGCCGCCCCACCGGTGATGAGCACGTTCGGCCGCCTCATGGCGTCGCCCTGGAGACACCTGCGGGGGCCTCCGCCGCCACCGCGCGCGCCGATGGCGTCACCGCGCGGGCCGGCACGGCGCGGGCAGCCCGGCGACGGCCGGAGGAGAAGGACCCCTGGGGCCTACGGGTGAGGGCACCGGGACCGGGGACGGGACGGGGACACCGAGAGACACCGAGAGACCCCCCCGGGGCACAGAGAGACACCTGGGACACCGAGAGACCCCCCCGGGGCACCGAGAGACCCCCGGGGCACGGAGAGACCCCCGGGGCACCGAGAGACCCCCGGGACACCGAGAGACCCCCCTGGGACACCGAGAGACACCGAGAGACCCCCCTGGGACACCGAGAGACACCGAGAGACCCCCGGGGCACCGAGAGACCCCCCCCGGGGCACCGAGAGACCCCTCCGGAGCACCGAGAGACCCCCGGGCTCCGAGGGCCCGGCGGGGGCAGGGGCTCTCCGTGCCCCCGCCCAGCATGTCCGGCCGCGCCCCGGGGCGGCGGGCGGAGGTGGGTGCCGGGCGGAGGTCCCGGGCGGAGGCGGGGGGTGCCGGGCGGAGGTCCCGGGGGGTCCCGGTCGGAGGCGGGGAGTGCCGGGCGGAGGTCCCGGGGGGTCCTGGGCGAAGTGGTGGGCCGATCACGGCCCCTGGAGCCCGCGGGTGCTGGGGGGCCCGGGCGCGGCGGGGGCTGCGCACACAGCTCAGCGAGGAGCTCCGCGGAGTCACAGGGTGCAGATTGGCCCCCAGCACCGCAGAGCCCTTGTCCCAGAGCAGGCTGGGCCGGCTGGGTCCCGTCCCAGCCCACACCCGGTCAGTGGGTCAGGCTTAGTGCTGTGCAGAGTCACCGTGCAGCTCTGCCCCGTGGCGTTGAGCGCAGCAAGACGTGCATTGTCAGCTGTATTTATGTGAGTACGGTTGGACAAAGAGATGTTGATCAGAATCGCTGCACAGTACAGGAGCTGTGACAGCTGTTACAGGGGAGTGCACTGGGGAGCAAGAGTTGAAATAGGAATATGTAAGGAGTTGAAACGTGGGCATGAAGCAAAGGTTGGACTCAGTGATCTTGGAGCTCTTCTCCAACCTTAATGGCTCTGTGACTGAATATTTCAGCAATTGTATTAATGCAAAGCCAGTTGTTAAGTAGAGATGATGTCACTCACCCAGACCAGCGACCAGATCTCTTGGGCCCGGCCTGTCCCCACGGCAGGGAGGAATCTACACACCCACAAGAAGGGATTTGTGACAAGATCCTGCCCTTAACATTTGGGATTGGGCTTTTCTAGTGTGAAGTGCTGGACGGTCAGTCAGGTGTGTCCAGGCTGTGCCGGCTCCGCAGCTTTGGAGGAGTTCTCAGTGGTGTCACTTGTTTGTTCCTTTGCCCAGGGACTGTCCCAGCTCTGCCACATCTTCCCCTCCCTCTCAGGACGTTTCCCTTTGGGGCTGATGAGTCAGGCTGGTTTCAGCTCTGTTCAGCCCAGAAGCAGCCCGAGCCCCCTTCCTCATTCCCCACTGGGGGCTTTGCAAACAGGGCCTTGTTGGAGTTGTTTTACCCCATTCCAGGCAGAGCATCCTGGCACCCCTGGCTCTTGCTGTGCTGGCTGATGAGATGTGTAAAGTGTGATTTCCCAGCCCTTTTTGGGGACTCTGGGGGCTCTGTTGCCATCCAGCCTGTCTCAGCCCTGCACTGAGGGGCTGCCAGTGATGGTATTTGGGACCTTTGAGAAGTGCTCTGGAGTGTAAGTTTGCACCCCTATTCCAGCTGGGAGCTCCTCAAACCCCAAATTCAGAGCTGAATGGTTCCTGTCTCAGGCTCTGGCACAGCCACAGCTCAGCCCAAGCTGCCCCGGGTAGCAAACAGGGAATAATCCCTGATTTTATTGTGCTGCCTCAATAACTGTTCTCTGCCATCTGCTTCCAACTTTGAATCACAAATGCCTGCACTGTAAGTGTTCAAGAAGAAGAGGGGAAACAAGAGCCACATACTGAAAACATGAACGTGACCTTAATGCAAACACAGTCTGAGTAAGCTGATGCTGCTTCTTCATTCTTATCCCTGATTTAATTTTACTTCTTTAGTTTGGTATGTTTGTGGAATTTTCTACCTGTTCTGACTTGACAATTTCCTGCAAAATACTCTTGGCACAACATGTGAGGGGAGGCTTTATTTTAATACTGAAGAATCTCAGAATCCCAGAATGGTTTGGATTCAAAGGGCCTTAAAGCCCACCCAGTCCCATCCCCTGCCGTGGGCCGGGACACCTCCCACTACCCCAGGTTGTTCCAAGCCCCGTCCAAGCTGGCCTTGGACACTCCCAGGGATGGACAAGTGTACGTGGGATTAAGAGCTACTATTTTTAGGGACAGCTGTGCCCAGATGAGGGGAGGAGGTGCTGCTCCAACCCCACAGCGTGTCTGTGTTCTCCAGGTAGCAGAGTGGCTGGCGCATCCCTTCGATGACCTCTTTGGAAGCTCCGGTGTTCCCGTGAAGGCCCTGGGAGGCAGCTCTGGGAGAGGCCGGAGGCGGCAGCAGAAGGACCTGAGTTCTGTGCCAGAAAACAGCAAAGCCAGGGCTCCCCCCAGGAAAAGGGCAAAGCCCTCTGTGGGGGATCTGCCCTGTAACACGTCCAGGCAGAGCTGGAGCCAGGCCCAGGATGAGCTGCCGTGGGTGGAGAGATACAAACCTGAGACTCAGGTGGGACTTGCTCCGAGTGCTGGCATAGTAGTAACATTACAGTAGCATACTGTGCTTCTGCCCATGATCTGTACTGGTCAGGCTCCCAGAACATCCTGTTTTGCTACAGCAAAAAGGTGCTGGCCTGGTTTGTTCACTGCCAGGAGCTCTCTGTGTGTAGGAGACACATTTCCCTCAGGCCTCCTGAGGAGGTAAAGCTGCTGATGAGATGTGGTTTCCTGTCAGTCCACATGTAAACTTCTGCACCTGTTGCTGGGTTCCAGCCACATCCATCTGCTCCAAGCACTGGGGACACCCGGCTGCCTGGGATTTGCAAAGGTTACAAAAACCTGGGCAGTGTTAGAGTAAAAGGAGCAAAAAGTACCGGCTCCAGCAGTGGCTGTGAAGCATAATGACACCAATAGGCAAGGTTGCAGTGTTTTTACTTTGAGAATAATTAACAGCTCCTTATCTCCCAACTTCAAACAACGGAAAACAGGTTGTTGGAGGAAACAGATTGAGATGATCATCCTTAACTGTGGCACTTGCCTCTGCAGAGCATAAATGTAACTGAAACACACACCAGCATGTCTGTTAATATTTCAGTCAGCATGTATTTTATCTTTGAATCTCATCTTTAGAAACCAAGGGGTCAGTATATGAATTTCATGTATTTTAACCTTGTTTCAGAATGACCTTGCTGTGCAAAAAAAGAAAATTGAAGAAGTTGAGACCTGGTTAAAAACGCACACATTTCAGAGGCAGCCAAAGCAGGTAAACATGCTACAATGAGCAGCCAGAGGTACCAAACCATACAAATGAGCAGGATACAATTCTAAGTTCAGAGAAAGTGAACCGAGAGGTGGTGATTCTGGGTCATTGTAAGAAATCTGATAACACAGATTAGAGCTTGTACTTTTGTTTTGGGCCTGTGCTGATAAGAGCTGGATTCTGATTTTGGTCAGAAATATTATTTTCTGGCATCCAGTCATAAATCAAAACTCTTCAATGTGCTTGAAACCTCAGGGTAATTTTTAGGTCTCTTGGCAAATGTCCAGTTGCACTGGGTTGGTGCACCAGGACCTTTTTAGTTTGGATGGATAGGAGCTACTCTTGTACAGAGGCATAAATTGCCAGTCCTGACCAACTAACCGGGAGCTTTCAGAACAGAACAGGGCTCTCAGATCCTGGCCTGGCTCTCTCTGCCTGAATACTCAGCAAGTAAATCACCAGCACAAAATATGTGACTTGGGTTTCATTGGGAAAGAGAATCATTGCCAGAGGAACTATAGAGGAAAGTCAGCGATATTCATCTCCAGCCAACTGTCACATGTGGATTTATTTCTGTCCTTCTGTGTCAGGATGGCTCTGTTTTGCTGCTGACTGGTCCCCCTGGCTGTGGGAAAACTGCAACTCTGCAAATTCTGGCCAAAGATCTTGGCCTTCAGGTGCAAGAATGGACCAATCCCCTGTCTTTAGACTTTACAAAGGAAGAGTTAAGAAACATGTTTGGCCATGGTAAGTATTTTGTGTTTTTTCCCTTTTCTATTCTAGTTACTTTTGTGGTTTTCATATATGCCATATTTTTGCTTATTTTGTCTCTGTCACTTGTGAAATCAGATCCACATCTGTGTAAATCCATCCCCTAGTGTATAATAAAAATCTTTCTGTTGCTTTTATCTGGAAAGGGATTTAGGTTTTTTACAGTGTTTACTCCAAAATAACTGACAGTTCGGATCAGTACAGACAGCTCTGTAATAGCCGGGATATCACTTGTACCAATTAAATAAAAACAGGTAAATGTCTTTATTGGGGTCCTCACTTAAATTGTACCCTTTAAAAATTCTCTTGTATTTGTTTGCCAAAGGGCTTCTTCAGTGGTGCTGTCAGAAAGTAGCGTGGGTGGGTATTAGTTCTTGTGGGTATTTTATTCTACTTGATGTAATAGAGAATACATATTTTTAATTAGTTTTCTCTTTCAGACTCCAATTTTCATACATTTCCGAGCCAGGCCCAAGCAGCTCTCTTTCAAGATTTCCTGTTAAGAGCAAATAAGTATAACAAACTTCAGATGCTTGGGGAGTCCTCAGGAAGTGATAAAAAGCTTATTCTTATTGAAGTAAGTGAAAACTTGTGAAATATTGGGTTGAAAACAGTAGCTGATGTTGTAATACTGACACGCTCATGAGCTCCAGCTGGTGGACTGGTGTTTCCCAAAGTTCATCAGCTTTAGGGCAGATGAGGTCTTTATTATTCTTTGAGTCTCTACAGCAGCTGAGAATCACGTTCTACTTGTAGGTGAGCCATATAACCAAAAGTCAGGAACTGAAGTCTGGTTTGAGTACAGCAAGAAGTAACA